CGGAGGGGAGGAGGGCGACGGCGAACGAGCCGATTGGAACATCGTTGCAATGCCAGCAGGTCCGTCGGAGATTCGGTTATTGCGGTTGGTGTTGCTGCTGGTATTGCTAATACCGGTATTACCGAAGCCGCGGCGGCGGTCGTCTCGGTCGCCTTCGATCACGTCAGCGCCGTTGTTGTTATCACCGTTGTTACCGTTACCGCCACGAACGATGTCGTCAATAGCTGCGTTGCTATCAGCGGCGGCACTAACGTCACTGTACGGCAGGATTGTGTATACCGCCGTCACCTCGGCTGCTGCGGGCTGATACTGCTGCTGCTGCTGCTGCTGGTCGCTAAAGAGGGCAAACGGTCGCCTCGGTGCGGCTGCAGACGGGGGCGGGCTGGCGAGGGGAGAGAGGGGCGGTGAGCTGCCGGCGCTGGCGGAGGAGGTGGAGGCGGTTGAGTGGTAGGAGGCGGCGGCGGCGGGGGGCGCTGAGGTGGGGGAGGCGGGGAAGGCGGGGGCTTGGTTGGCGGTGGGGGAGATGTCGAAGCCTAGGACTTGGGTGAAGGCGGCGGTACGGATGCGGGGCGGGGGAGGAGGCGGCCGAGGGGAGGGGGGCGCGGAGCTGAGGCCTGCGGGGAGCGAGAAGGTAGAATGAGAAGGAGGGTGTTGGTAAATATGGGGCAGAGAGCTTGCTTGGAAGATGCGGCGATGTCTTTGCTTGGCACAGCTCTGTCTAGCAGTGTAGAAGCGGGAGCTGTGCTAGACCGCAAGGAAGGCCGGCAGCAGTGCAGTCGCCTAAAGCCAAAAGCATGCTTTGGGTGTCGGACTCCTTCCCGCAGTCAGGAGCGCTGGCCGAAGGAAGTCTGGCTGGTTAAACTGCTCCGGTGGAATAATGCCCTAACAGCAGCTTACATTTCCGACCAGCACACGCACGGAAGACGGACAAGGCAAAATAAATTGTTTCCAACCCATCGACCGGCGGGCGGCTGCTGGAAGCGGGGAGTCCAGGCCAGCCAGCTCATCAGCTCACCTGCTGCTGTCGGAAAATGGCTCCTGCTGGTGAACCTGCTGGAGCCGTGGTGGTCAGTCCAGCTTACTCCGAGACTGTCGTCGCAAGAGGCCTACAGGCCAAAGCGCAGCAATTTTTCGCCAAAATCAAGAGCGGTGAACAGCGGTGAACAACTGAACTTCTTGCGTGGCTTGCAGTAGTTACTATCAAGTTTTGAGATAAGTAAGCGGGTGTAAATCGATGCTGGATATGTCGCCTCGCGTGCTGCTAGGATAGCTGTTGTAAAGCTCTGTGGCTAGCTTCCAAAGCGATACCGCGTCAGAGCCGCTCGGGGTACGTACCTCGGCCGGCAGCAAATCTTGGGCCGTGAACAGCCGCAATGCGCCCCTCGGATCGGGTTCAGCTGATGCGAGTAAGGAACCCAAACGGGAATCCATGGGCAGCGGGGCCCCTGCTGGTTGGTGAGGTGTGTGTGTGACGGGCTCTTTGGGCTGAAAACGGAGGGACGCGGTGAACACGAAGCAATGTCGGTATCGTTTGGCTGGAATCAAGCTGCTAAATGAAAAAGAAGAAACCCGGATGTTCCTATCTATGAATGGATGTTGTGGTAATCACGATTGGTAACTGCCCATGGGCGTGTTTCGGCGCAATCCATGTGATTAGCGGCGGGGTGTTTTCATGTACTCATTGTGGTCAACGTTGCTGCCACTTCCCCTCCCCCCGAGCACATTTTTGATGCGTCATACGCTACCGCCCATTGGCCAGTTGCCCGCACACGCATGCGGTAAACTAGCTGACTAGCAGCCATCACAATGTGCGACAAAGCTGATGAAGTAAAGCAATGTGTTTGCAGGAAGGGATCGGATTGCAGTTGGATTGCAGGTCCGCGACCCATGGGTCATTTAGGCCTCTTGACCGGGCGTGTCGCGCCTTTCCTATGAGCCACGGCCGCAGGATCGCCGCGTCTAAATGTGCTGAGAAAGCCTACACTATCCTGCCGGCCTCAACTACTTAGAAGTTAGAACACCTGTAAGAACTGCGACGTCCGTTACCGTTGTTACCAGCCAGGGCATCGACCTGACAGCGCTACGCTACTTTTAGGAAACTCCGTACTCGTTTACTGCGTGGAAGAACCATGTATGCAGCAGCACTCCCTGTTCCGCATTCAAGCAACAGGCAACGCTTGGGCTAGCGCATAACAATCGATACGCCATCCACCGCTACGTTACCAAGCACGCATTCGCAGCCATTGCTCCTCTTTGCAATCCATCAAGCTCCATTGCCGATCGAGCAACCTCTCGGACCACTGCAGGACCTCACTGGTTCGCTTTGACAAGCTACATATGGCGTCTTCCGCTTCTCTTGCAGTGTTAAGTAGGGTTGGGTTCTGTTGAGGGATGATCAACACTACAAATACCTCTGGATTGGGAAGGAAGCAATACGGCCTAGGGCCGGGCGTTTTTCTTTCATCAACAGGTTCATCACTCGTGTTCCCTGCTGGGGAACCATTGTAACGGTATTCATTCAAGAAGACCGAGAAGCAACGCGGGTTCCGCCGACTAAGCAGCAGTCAAGGAGCCCCAAACACCTCATCCAAACCACATGCATGGACACTTGCATCCGCAGCAGACGCCAAATCCTGGCTTGCAAAACTCGCCCGTACGTGGCCCTTTGTAGGTGCAGCGCATTGCAGCTCCTGAGCTGGAGAGGCTGTTCTTTTTCGTGGTTGTGGGGACGTGCATCAGGCAGCGAGTGTGAAGACAGAAGAGAGCACGGGGCATGAGTAAACCCTAAACTGCAAGGGAAACAGAATCCGTCCAGCGCCTTCAATTGTATTGTTTGTCCCGACATGCGCAATTTATCGTCACCAGGAGGCCATTCGTGGCGCGTCCGAGGCCTCTGAGGGAGAGCATAGAGTGCAGCAGACGCATGCAGTTCTACGGAGGGCGCTTTGCGCGTCATCCCATTCAGAGCACCTTTAGGCATGGTGTTTGCTTTGGGCCCGGCAATGATCTTTGAGGATGAGGAGCCATGGTGCCCTGGATGAAGCAGAGCACCCAGTGGCTTCGCTGCTTTCCGGAGACGCCCGTGTGGCACGGTGCAGGCTGATTAGGGTCGTTTTCCGTGCGGCCATGAAAGCCGACTTCTGCGCGATGGGTTTTGGATTTCCATAGACCATGCCGCTCTGCGGCCCAGCTCTGTCCGCCGGAAATGTTGCGTTGGGCTGCTTTCCTCATCAAACGTGGCTCCTTCTGAGCTGACTCTTTGGCCTCAAAACCCCTGAAAATCTTAGTTTTGTCCTATGCTCCTACTCTTATTGCGTGTCGTCCCTGCTGCGGCAGTCCCGCGCTCTGCCGGTTCGCCCCGAAACCGGGCGTTGAAGTCATCAATGCAACGATGTCCCAATGCTTGTACATAAAGTTGATTAACTGTTCTTGCTTGGTCTCTCTAATATATACATTAGTAATCAGCTACTTTAGGGGCTCTAAGGTTGTTCACCCAAAGGGTGAAAGCTTTGCATCTACAACTATTTTGACAAAGCCGTGTTACATGCCTTCGCAGTTTCCCTCTCTTATAGAGGAATAATGCCCGTCTCATATATAAGGGACAGCTCTCGAGGAGCCCCTACTGCCGTGGTCCGGCTTCAAAATGTCGCAGTTGCGTTGCTGCCGCGACCGCAAGTCCAGCAGCTGTCGGAAGCACAGCTTCAAGAAGGTCTGGCTGCTGCATCTAGGATCGACGCAGACCTGAAGAGCACCTGTAATGTAGAGCAGGCAGCAGCACTGATGCTCGAGCTTTGGGCGCCTCTGGAAAGCCGCACTTCGCTGTTGCTGCTGCTCCTAACCTGCTTGCACGGCGTGGCTAAACATGAAGTAGATCCAGGACCCAAGAGCTTGCATAAGCTCTTGGGTCCTCTCTCTAACTTGCTACACCACCTGCTAAGCTTTCCGCCAGACGACATGTGTGAGGTGGTTGCAATTGATACCGCCCAGCTCGCCCTGCAGCTGGACATCTTGCCGGCTTGCTACGCGGTATTGGCGAACGAGCGGAACGCCGGCCATTCAGCGCTAAAGGTTGCAAAAGCTTTGAGTTTTAAAATTTGCTTACAGTCTTACGACCCTCACGATGAGACCTTTTACGTTACACTGCTCACCGCCCTCCGCCGCAACAAGCTGGCGGAGATGCTGGCGACCCAGACGCTAAACTGCGCTTGGGGGCCGAGCAGCGGAGCACTGCACGCGACCGCAACGGCACCGACAGCAGCAGGGGCCCGCAGCAGCAGCCGAGGTGGTGGTGAACGCAAGGCCTGCAGCGGCAGTCGCGGTGGCAGCAGTGCCGTCGGTCCAAGGCTGAACCCCCTTGCAAAGCGTGCACTGCTGACCTTTCTCGACATTGCTGAAAGCCTGGCACAGATCAAGGATTATATTCCACGCAAGGTTAAAGAGGTGGCGGCTTCATGCAGGGCGGCCGGTGGGAGCGCTGAGCGTTTGCTGCCTGCTGTGCTTGAAGCAGTCGCCGCCACACGCGACGGCCTCCGTGCGGTGCTGTCCGGCACCTGCCTGCAGTATGCCCTGGCGGCGCTTGTTGTGGCACAGCTGGCGGCAGCGGACGGGGGCCCGGTGTACGGCCTGACGGAGGCGCAGAGGCTGCCGCCGCTGCTTGAGGACGAGGGGCCGCGGACGGTTGTTTCGACCCAAGGTCTTTCGACAACATTTCGCCTGTGGGAATTGTGCCTTGCTGGGGTATGGCGGTTGCCGTACAGCCGGCGTGCAATACACGAGCTAAGCATGCGGGCCGTACGGGTGGCGCTGCGCTCGATGGTAGAGCATGCAGCTAGGCGGCAGCAAGCGAGGGCGCGGCAGCAGGCCCGCAGTGGTAGCGGCAAGGGCCGCCGGAGCCCGCAGCAGCAGCAGCTGGAAGAAGACCAGCAGGCGGCCTGCAGCAGCGGCAGCAGCCCTCCCAGCTGGGCTCAGCAACCATTAGCGCTGCCATTGGCAGAGGAGTGCTGCGCAATGACTGCTATGGACGCTCTGTCCTGCGCATTTCAGTCCGCCGGCTGGCCGGTCAGGCAACAAGCTCGTGTCGATGCTGACGTGTCTGACGGCGCCGCTGCTTCCGCCGCCGCCAGCTTTACGCACGGCACTGCCGCCGCCACCGCTGCTGACGTGACTGCTGCCGCCGCCACCGCTGCTGACGTGACTGCTGCCGCCGCCACCGCTGCTGACGTGATTGCTGCCGCCGCCACCGCTGCTGACGTGACTGCTGCCGCCGCCACCGCTGCTGACGTGACTGCTGCCGCTGCCACCGCTGCTGACGTGACTGCTGCCGCCGCCACCGCTTCTGATGTGACTGCTGCCGCCGCCACCGCTGCTGACGTGACTGCTGCCGCCGCCACCGCTGCTGACGTGACTGCTGCCGCCGCCACCGCTGCTGACGTGACTGCTGCCGCCGCCACCGCTGCTGACGTGACTGCTGCCGCCGCCACCGCTGCTGACGTGACTGCTGCCGCCGCCACCACTGCTGACGTGACTGCTGCCGCCGCCACCGCTGCTGCTGCCAAGTGGTGGGATGTGGCCGTTCCAGCGATGGAAATGCTGCTGAGCCGGTGTGAGGAGGAGGATGACGTCTCCTACATAATGTCAGCGGAGCTGGTGACGCTGGAATTGCCCAGCCGTGAAGGTGATTGCGCGTGGAAAGCGGAGGATTGCGAAAGGGCGGACAGATGCGGGGCAGGGCCAAGAAGGCATGGGGTAGCTGTTGGAGTTTGCAGCGTACGGATAGGGGTAAATGCTTCACCTTGCCATTGCTGTCCTACACCCTGTTAAGAACTGCGATTCCGACATGCTATGCTGCTAATGCTCGGCATCCAACTCGCATATGTTTTCCTTCCTACGCCCAGGGGTCCCAAGGGGCCAGCTCCCCCCCGCGCCGCCGCCCAACCTTACCGCCGCCCTGGCCGCCGGCTACCTGCCCCTGCTTGAGCGCTTGTTGCGAGTGTACGGCAGGATGACGGGCCAGGCCAAGCTCTTGTCATTTGTGCTGGAAGGGGCATTAGACGTCACGCGGCTGCCCTTGCTCCTGGCGTACGGCAAGCCGCACGAGGCCGCATCCTTGCTGGCCACCGTGGGCAAGCTGATGCAGCGCGGCCTGTCTGACAGTGCTGGCAGCAACGAGCGCCTCCCACCTGATCAGGTTCTCTTACTCTTTCAGGACATGAAGGTCATCATGACCACAGCAGCTCCCAGCTGCAGTGCCAGCAGCAACAGCAGTGCCGCTGGAGGTGGAGGCAGTGGGGGTTCAGGCAGTGCCGGCTGCAGCGGTGGCAGCACTGCCTGCGGCGCCCACAACAGCCATAACACCTGCAGCAGCAGCAGCTCATGTGCCTGGGAGCCAGCTCGGCAGCTGCGGGCGCTGGCTGCAGCTGCCGTCCAGCAATGGTCGCCCATACTGGGACGTATCGTGGCCCATGCCGCTGCTCCTGACGTCACTTGGGTTCCGACATCTCCCACTTTGTCTTTTCTGTACGTGCTGGCGCATGCCGCAGTACAGCAAGACGCGGCAGAGGCAGGGGCCACGATTGCGGGGGCGGCATTGGAAGCGGAGGTGGAGGCGGCACCAGCAAGCAGCGGCCGCATCCGCTGGCGTCAGGTGCTGCTGGACATGCGTGCAGTACAGCTGATGGGGCTGACGCTGCGGCGGGTGCTTGCAGAGGCAGCACTGGACCCGACCCAGGAGGAGGAGGAGGAGGAGTTCAGCGACGAGGAGGAGTCCAGTCGGAAGCAGCTCTGTACGGCTGTTATTGTGCTCGAAAGCCTGGCGGTGGCACTGCCGGCGGAGGTGGCGGCGGCGCAGCGGGAGGGCACCTTGCCGGAGCTCACGGAGGCGGACCTGGCGGGCTGCAGTGAGCCGTTAAAGGGGTGGCTGCTGTCGCGGCTGCGGAACCTGGAGACAAACGCACCGCCCGCCAGCCGGCTCAGCATGATGCCAGACTGCACGATGTCCAGCAACCTCCGCGCAAGTGAGGTGGGTGCTATGATGGTGGCGGCGGCAGCGGCGGTGGAGTCGGAAGGCTCGTCATCTCCGCTGCTGCCACCACTGCGGCGCTGCGGCCACCCTGGCTGCACCAACCTGGCTGGCCGCAGCGAGGCGGAGCTGCCGCTGCCCAAGGCGTGTCGGTTCTGCTGCGGGCAGGTGCGGTACTGCTGCAGTGAGTGCCAGCTGGAGCACTGGAAGGCGGAACACAAGGCGGAGTGCGGGACTAAGAGAGCTGGGACCAAGCAAGGGGGCGGCGGGGGCAGCACGGGGCACGGGGCATGATGGATATTGTTTCAGTCCTGCCTTGTTCGAGCACGGTGTGCGCACAGTTTAAGCGGGCGGGTCCTGGCACAGCGGCGGAGTGATGGAGGCGAGTGATAACGATAGGCGATTGGTCGAGTGGTGTAGGGGGTATAGAGGTCCGAGATGTGAGATGCATGCATGTGGTTGCAGGAGGCATGCAGGTTTGGCTGCGGGTGCTTAGCTTGCTCGTACATATTCTTTTACACCGGGAGTCCTGCCCTAAGCCGCTGAGCGAGGGGCATCTCAACAGGCTCCTCAGCAGGGGGATCTGGATGCATGCAGGCGGAGGAAACATGATGTGGTACTGCAGGAGGGAATGCTAAAGCTGTGACACTAACATGCTACATTGACGCTCAGGATAGGGCTCTCCCTGATGTTGGCTTATGAAGAGTGATGAGCCCCACCTTGGATAGAGAAGTTGAGCCCCACTAACGATGCGTTCTTACTACGGGATAGCCACGAGCAAGCCCAGATGTTAAGCAGTATACTTGACATGGTTTGTTGCGCTATAGGGGACATGGTTTGTTGCGCTACAGGGGACATGGTTTGTTGCGCTACAGGGGCGGCCGTTCATGCTCCTACGTGTGAGGTCCATGTGTTGGAGGGACCGAGGTGGGGTGCACGGGCATCAGCATCCGTTGGTATATGCTGGGCCACCCCCAATCCCACATTGACAATATGACATGCTTCCCAAGCGAGACGCTGCTGTCTACGTTGGGTTGCGGTGCGGTGCACCGCACCGCCCGGGGCGGCAGCGCACTAGCGAGCGCTTCTTGGACAGCAGCAAGACTGTCAACTCGTGTAAGGGCTTGGTCCAGTTCCTGAACACTGCACGTCCAAGGTTTTGGCTAGCGATGGTGCCTTGACTGTGTGTTGAAGGTCCGCATGTCTATCAGGAACAACCTACACAGCAGCCTCCCAGTGGCGGCGGCTGGTGAGGGGCCCTGACCCAGACTAAGCTTAGCTTAGCTTAGCTTGGCCCAACTGGCGCGTATGGTCACACTGTGCACGTGCACGAACTGTAAGCCTAACTGTAACTGTCAACCTCCTCGGCAATGCTCTCTCTCGTGTCCTTTCCTCTGGTGCGTCCCAGCCGATAATCATTCCCTCCTGCGGTATCACACTACTTATTACCGCGATGTAACACACTGCACAAGTTACTACACAGTTGGGTAAAAGCACTATTGAAATGTACACCCACACACTCACGCACTCCTGCATCACGGCCCAGCTCGCCACGGCCCACCAACCACGGACACCTGCTCCTCACAGTGTACCGGTACGCATGCAGCCCTGCTGCACGTATCTCTATTTTCCGGTGCCGCCTTTGTGGTACCCAGCAGTTCTGTTTCACCACATTACCTAGCAGCACCAGCACTTCTAACCACTTCGCGCTGTCCTCATGCCGCCGCTGCCTCCAATCGTCACTACAAAGGCGGACTGCCAGCACCATCAACCATTATCATAAGCCGCAGCAGCCGCCGCCGCCGCAGCAGGCGCCGCAGCAGGCGCCGCCGCCGCCGCCGCAGCAGCAGCCGGGTGTGCCGGGAGCCTCCTTCCCTACTGAGCCCCACCGCTCAGCGGCACCACCACCGCCGCCGCAGCAGCAGCGACCACTGCGCTCGGCGGGAGGGGGCCTTGCGGGTGCATGGTGCCGGGCGGTGGTACGGCAGCAGAGGGGGGTTGAGGGCTGTACGGCTGGGTCGGTGAGGGCGACGGCGGGGCTTGAGGGAGGCCGGAGGGTGAGGCGGAGCGCTACATGTACAAACACGTGGTGGGGGGCGGCCGTAGCGGAGGACACAGGGAGGAGGCATGCATGGGGAAGGGAGGGGTTGTTTCAGAAAGGTGCTGCAGAAAGTAGATAGCGACGTACAGAAATGAGGCACAAGGGCACGGGCTTGGGTGCAAATCCGGAAACGACAAACTTGAAAGAAATGCCGCCGCCTGCCTACCAACTCGGCCCAAGCAGCGCATGTAGAATGCCAAACCAATGCCACCAAATGCATTAGGCGGAGACCTTCTCGATCAACCCACGTACTGGATACCAGGAACCTAAACACACACGGAGTGCCGCCCAAACGCACCCCCCCAGACCTCACCCGAACGTACTCTTCCTCCCGTATCAGGGGCAACACACTGTACACGGGTACCACCGGCGTGTCCCGATTATAGAAGAGGCCGCTGCTGCTGCTGCTGCCTGGCTGGCCGTGAAGCCCTTGGATCTCGCCCGCAGCGTGAGCAGGAGGGGCAGGAGGGGCGGCTGCAGGGTACTCGACGGAGGGCAGCAGGTCCCCAGGTGAGGAGTGGTGCGACCCGACCGGAGCTCCTCCGGCAGCAGCTGCTGTGGTGGCGGGTGCGCTGGGAGCGGCTGCTGGAGGAGGAGGAGGGGGAGGCGTGTGCGGACCTCGAGGCGTGTCGCTGGGAGGGACCTGTGTGGAAGGACGGCGGCAGCGGTAGGAGGATTTGACTCAGTCAGGATGCGTGACAGGCACCTGCATGAAGCCACACAAGCAGCTCCATGCATGCGGATGGGGGGCAGTGGAAAGTAGGCAAGGAGACAAAGGTGGCCCCAGCTGACTTGATGGCCAGGATGTCAGTGGAATGGCCATTGCTGTGGATTGCTCCCCGCTGAGGTCTTCCCCACGGTTCCTTCTAGCCTTTCTTTCCCACTCCATGTGCCGCCCCAGGCCCCTAGTGTCTTGCCCCCACTAGCGATTTGCTGCTTCCCCCTCCAACCCTCCATGCACGTGTCCCACCTGCGCCAGGGGTGTCCGGAGCTGCAGCGCGCCCTCCCGAATGAGCGGTGCGGCCGACTGCAGCGCCACCAGGGGCGTGTCCCGCTCGTAGCGGAAGGCGGAGCGGTCGGGAACCGGCATGGTGTAGAGCGGGTCGGGGGGGCCCTGGGTCGCGGTGGACTCCAGGTCCTGTGGGGGGCGGCGAGGAGGAGTGGGAGGAGTGTTGCGTTACATAGCCCTTACACTGCCACACCAGTTTCGCAAGTCCTTCCACTCTGGCTCTTTTCCCTTCCCCCCAGCACTCACATCAAATATGTAAACACTCTGCCTTATCTCCCTCGCCTCAGCCCCCCTTCTCGCCCTTCCGCCCTCCCGAACCCCCTCCTCCCCTCACCTGCTGCAGCGCCAGAAGGTCCCGGTAGGGGGCGCTGCCGGGCGGCGCCAGTCGCGGCACCAGCACCGGCTCCGGCACCGCCGCCCGCAGCTCGTCCCACATCTCCACCCGGCTGTCGGGGCCGTCCATGGGAGCCACCCTGCCGGCCGGGGGGGACTGCAGGGAGGAGGCGGAGGGAGGGAGGAGGAGGGAGCAGGAGCGGCAGCGGGTGGGGGAGGGTGTTGGAGGCGCGGGAGGCATGGCTGAGGGGCAGGCAACGCAGCCCTACAGCATCCAGCCGACAACACATCCTGGTGTGTGTTAACGCCGCGGTCCCCGGCTCAGTTCACCTAATCCACCAGCCCCGCCCAGCTACCCACCCACCGGCGCCACTGTTTGCCACTCGCTGTCCGCATACGCTCTGCGGTACCATGCGGCCACGTAGGGGTTCTCAGCCGCCTGCTGCTGCTGCTGCTGCTGGGACGCGGCCGCCAGCACCGCCTGCAGTCGGGCCACGGTGGCGGCCAGCCGTACGTTGTCGCCGCGGGCCGCCTCCAGGTCGGCCCGTACGGCACTCAGCTCCGAAACCTTGGCGTTGGATTCCTTGAGGCCCTGGGTCGCATGGGCATGGGGCCGCGTGGCGTGGCTCGAAAGGTGTTCGCGAAAGGTACTTCATGACACAGGCACACACTCGCAAGGCACAAGGCACACACTCGCGCAGTACGCCCCTAGGCTTCGTACTCGCGGCCGGTCCATTAGCCACACCTCACACGCCTGTCGCACCCCACCTGTATGGTGAGTTGCGCCTCCTGCAGCTCCCCCACCGCCGCCAGCAGTGCCCCCTGCAGCTGCCGGCACCGCCGAACTAGTGTTGCAATCACCTGGGAGGGCAGGGCGGGAGGGCGGGAAGCAGGGAGGGCAGAGACACGGAGCAGGGGTGAAGGAGAGCAGCAGGGGAGGAAGCGCCCATGCATGTTTGAGGATAAATGCCGGTAGGGGATGTGCCCCTGAAGGATTCTGCCACTAACGGGCCCTAACCAGCAAGGCCCGTAAGCCAAAGGCCGGCAACGCGGATGTAGCTGAGGCCGCAGAGGGCCCACCCAGGCAAGCCGCATTCTGTGCACCTTGGCATGCCCTCCATTAGGCCCATCACACGTCTCCCTGCCCTGCCCTGCCCAGCACAGCCCCATCCCTCTCTGCCGCTCCCTGCCCCCACCTGCGCGCTGCTAGCCGGGTAGGACCCCCCCAGCAGCTGCTTCACATCCCCTTGCAGCGGGTCGGGAGCAGCGGAGGAGGCGGCATCACCCGGCAGCCCCGCGTCTGCAGCGGCGGCAGGGACAAGGACGGGCACAGCAGGGGCATCATGGCAACAGTTGCATCTGCTAGCATGAGCGGAGGCTTGGCAAGGGCCGGCCCAGGGACCAGGGTGACAACAGGTAGCCGCAGCCGCAGAGAAGATGGAACAAGAGCGGTGCCGCTAGCACCTAGCCGTCAAAAACACTTTTCCCCCTTTCCTCCCAACCCCGCCCCCACCCGCATGCGCCGCCAGCCGCATACCGATGCGCTCCACCTCCCGCCGGTACCGCTCCGCCTGCACCTCCGCCTGCGCCGCCGGGCCCTCCGCGCCCGACAGCCCCGGCGCCGCCCGCAGCCCCACCCGCCCTCTGCCCCCACTCCCGCCCGCAGTGGCGGCAGCGGCGGTGCTGGCGTGGCTGATGTGCGCCTGTGCTGCGGGCGGCAGTGCGGCGGGGTCGAGCTGCGGGTCCACGGCGCGAAGAATGTCACGCAGCTGGGACTCGAACCTGGGATGTGCGGTTGTGCGGAAAAGTGGGAGAGGAGGAAGAGAGAAGAGGAGGCAAGAGGGAAGGCGGAGGAGGGAGAGCTTAGGAACTGCACGAGAAACGTTGAGGTGAGCGCCTGGGAGGCGACTACGGTACCTGAAGGCTAGCAGGCTAGGGCGCGCTAACACTACCCCTAGCGCAACACGCATGTCAAACACACAACATGTTGCATGCACACACAGCCTGCACCCCTGGCGGCACCCGCACCAGGCACACATGCACACTCACTCCTTCCGCGCCAGACGCCCCCTCACGTGCTTCTGTATGGTGGTGGCGGCATCGTTGGCCTGCGGGCGGGCGGGTGAGGGAGAGGTGTGGAGGCAGGAGTAAGAACGTTCCAGCAGCCCAGTGCGGGGAAGCACTCTAGCGCACCGGTAGTAACCCACCCACTCAGACCTCCTCTACCTCTTCACCCCAAGCATTGCCATGCCATGCAGGCGCATTGCCGCTCAAACGGAATACTGAAAACGGCGACGCTCACATACTCCTCCCAACAAGACCCCACCCCACCCCACCCCACCCCACCCCACCCCACCTGCGGTAGCTCCTCCGCTGCCAGCGTCAGCCGCCCTCCCGCTGCCGCCTCCGCCTCCCTCCGCCGCTCCTCCGCCCCCGCCTGCAGCGCCTCCCCCAGCCCCCGCTCCGCATGCACGGCAGCCAGCAGCACCTTGCAGTCCTCTTCGGCCTGGGGGAAGGGGGTGTGGTGGAGAGGAGGGGGTGTGGTGGAGAGGAGGGGGTGTGGTAGAGAGGAGGGGGTGTGGTAGAGAGGAGGGGGTGGGCTGCTGGTGTTGGGTGGAACGGGGGACGCGCAGGGAAGGAGGGCGGAGGGAAGGAGGTCCGAACTAAAAGAAGCCGCAATCCGGGCGAACGTGCAAGTGCACGCACAAATACGCAACCGAGCGGACACCCGTACACGCGTGTAAGCACGCAGGCACAGCACGCAGGCATCACACGCGCATGCAGTCCCCCACCTGCTGCCTCCTGGCTCGCTCCCACGCCAGCTGGTGCTCCAGGGCGCCCACCATACCCACCGCCTGCCGTACACCTGCGGGAGGCAGCGGGGGGCAGCGGGGGGGGAAGAGGATTAACGGGAAGTACACTGGGGGAAACAAAGAATGCCCTATGTGTCTACTATGGGAGGAGAGGGAGGAGAAAGGTAAGCAGAGGGAGGAAAGCAGCAGGCTTGAGCTACAATACTCCCGCACGAGAGGACGAAGCTACCGGTTCAAACCAGTCACCAGCCAACCACCGGTGGTTCTGTTTGAATCGTGGCTTGATTCGAGGCTGGAATCAGTCACCAGCCAACTGCCCTGCCCCAATGCACACACGGTGCCCCCACCCCACCTGCCGCGCACTGCTCCCGGAACCCCTGCAGCTCCGCGGGTGAGTCGCCCTGCAGGTCAGGCAGTGGAGGGACGCGGGGGGCACCACCTCGGGTGTTCGCCGCCTGCTGCTGGGGAGCAGCGTCCAGTACCAACTGGAGGTTGTACTGCTGAGGCATGTGAATGCCGTACGGTTGTTGAAGGTGGTGGTTGGCAGTTAGGATGAAGTCGTTGGTGGTTGGGGTGGTACCAACCGTGCCGTATGGTTGGTTGATCGGACTATTGACGGGTTGCATTTGTGCGACAAAGTCGAGCGTTAGGGGCTTCCCCGCGTCCGCCGCCTGCTTCACTGCTTGGTAGAGAAGAGCCCTGCTGTTGTTAGCGGCTGCGGCCGCTGTGGCGGGGCCTGTAGTGGCGCCACCACCGCTGCCGCTGCCAGCAATGGCGCCTGAAGTACTGGGTGGCTGCTTGCGAGGCGACATGTGCTGCTGCGGAAGGGTGTTCTGAGCTGACGGGATGGAGTGTTGCGACTGAGGATGTTGTAGCGGTTGTGGCTGCAGGTATTGGTATTGGGGTTGCTGATGGAAAAGATGTTGTTGGTATTGTGCTGGAGAAAAATGTTGCGGCGCTTGTTGGAAAGCACCTCCGGGATGTTCCAACATTGGGGTTGCGGGCTGCTGCACGGTAGAGCTCCGCGAGGCCTGAGGCTGCTGCCCCTGGGCTTGTTGCCTGCGCACGGTTAGGAGGTATCAAGAATTAGACCAAGTTGGACGGCTGTTTCTTGTCCGACGACGGAGGTTGCAGTTGCTGACGGTTTTGCGAGCTCCCCGTCTGCTTCTATGGCATATCTCAGAACAACCTGCTCATAATTTCACCACATTGCAATAGCGTAACAGCGTACCCTTTGCTCTTGGAGAAGAGGCCCATGTCCGTCAGTTACAATTGTCCACACTCCTCATAGAAGCCATTGTGCTAACAGGTTATTCTCCTATTTAGCGTCGCTGCAAAATGGGTCTATGCTAAGTGTGAACACGTTAGAATGCCGTTATCTAGCTGATGGCATTATTACCGTTCCTTCGAACAAACAACGTTTGCGGCCTCTCAGGATGCGTTTATAATGAAGGTATGTTTGGGGGACAATTCTACCAACAGGTAAGCGCCAAAAATTCACATAAAAACGTGGACGTTTCTGGCTCCGGTGCCAGTCGGTTAACGGGGTACACGGAAGCGGGGAGAGTGTCACGGAGGCGAACACAGGCCTCCCAGGTAGACTGCGTAGTGCGCCACACTATAACCATTACCTTCATGCCTATCCTGCTTGGACTTTGACATATCGGCAAGGAAGTTGCCAGCCCTGAGACGTGTCTCGCTTTCCCCCTCTTAGCCGCGTCTTCTGTAATAGTAGGTTAGCCATGAGGAGGGCTGCGGGCCGCTGCGTTGCGCAGGTTTGCACTGCCTTGTCTGCGCCAGCCCTTAAAGGATTTCTGCATGACATCTCTTTTGGTCTGCAGTTTTTCCGAGATGCCAGTCATGCATCGTCAGCTTGCAGCACGAGTGGGAGACCTGTTTCAGGTGCGCCGCGACTTTATGTGCATGATTGCCGAAGCCTGTCTGTGCATTTGCCTTATCGGCACCGTACTTGATGTAGAACAAGGACCTTCGCTGGCTAAACGACTAATGGGTGGAAGCAGCTCGGCGGCTCGGTTTGATTTCTTCGACCCAAGCAGGAATGGTAAGCACGCAGCACAGCCATTGCACAGTACCCTTACAAGTATAGCAGTCTTCACTATTGCTCGTTGTCCGTCATGTTGCATGCTTAGGTTCGTGCCCAACCTGCCCTGCACTGCTGCTAGTTGGGGAACACATGGGGAAGCAACGCGCTGATCCGTTGGGCGCATGACTTTCCGAGTCACATGGCTAAGACTGAAGGGGAGGACGCGAAGGGATATGCGCGCAACTTGGGCTTGGGAGCTTCTTGTTGCCCAGCCCCTTACCCTGCGCAAACAACAGCCCCCGGCAGCCGCCCACGCAGCCTGCTACCATGCGGCACAACTTGCTTACCCCACCACAGCAACAGCTGTACCTAACTGCTCTCCTTCCCCCCTTCGCCCCCTTCGCCCCTTTTCCCCAATCCCTACCACATCCCCCACACCCCCTCCCCCGTCCAACACACAGTCTACAAGGAGTTCCAACCCAAGTGGGACCGCGCAAACAAAGCCGCCGCCGAAGCGGCGGCCGCCGCTGCCGCCGAAACCGGCATCCTCCGCCCCAACTACCGCCCAACCGACGCCCCTGCCGCCGCCGCTGCCTCCACCGCCAGCACCCAAACCAGCGCTCCCGCGGTCGCTCCAGTCCTGAAGGACGCCGACTGGCCGCCCGGTTACTCGGAGCTGCTGCGCTCCTTCCTGCAGTCGGAGCTGCCCCTCAGCAGCGAGGAGGCAGGGAGGCTAGTGGAGGCGGCGCGGCGGGGGCTGCTGCCCGCCAGTCGGGAGGTCATCCGCACGCGGTACATGCACATTAAGGACCTGGAGCCGCGCTTCCCCGGCTTCAACGCCCGTACGGCAGTGCTGGGGGAGCCCCGCCTGCTGCTGCACTCGGCCTCCAAGCTCATGCGGGCCATGCTGGTGTTTCAGGACCACTGGACCGCCTCCGCCGTGGGGCCCCTCATGGGGCGCATTGGGGAGTTCATCGTGCGCGACCCCGCAGGCGTCGGCGCGCGGCTGCACGTGCTGTCCCGCGCGCTGTCGTACGATGTGGGAACCACGCTGGATCCGCGTCAACTGACCCCTGGGTCAGCCTTCCTGACTTGCTCGCCGTACGAAGTGGAGGCGCGCGTGTCGGCGGTGGCGACCATTTTTGGCCGCGAGGGCGCTTCTCGGCTGCTGGCGGCTGACATTGACGTGCTGTGTTTCGCGCCACGTCAGTTGGACGAGGCCGTACTCGCGCTGCGTGAGGTGTTTGCCGCCGCGGGTCACGGAGTCCCCCGTGAGCACCATGCGGGGACTCCTGAGGGGCGTGCGGCGGCGGCGGCGGACCGCGCGTACGTGACAGAGCTCGCGGTGGCTTGGCCGGGGTTGCTGGCGCTGCCTGGGCGGGTGGGCGAGGCGGGGGTTGCGCAGCTGGTGGCAGCGGTGCGGGCGGCAGGCGGGGCGAGGTACCGGGGTGCGGGCAGCAGGAGGGTGCTGCTGGCGGATGTGCTGGCGGCGCCTGAGGTGCTGCGGACTGCGGCGGAGGAGCCGGGGAAGCTGAGGGCGGTGGTGGGGGAGGTGCTGGCAGGGAGGGCGGTGGCGGGTGGGAAGGAGGCGGAGGCGGCATAGGGGGTAGCAGGGAGTGGGTGGGTATGTGCTTTGGTGGCGCGCGATGGTGTAGTGGGGGGGGAGGGGTGATGGGGCTGCTGGAGGTGGAGGGGTTGGGTTGTACACGAGGTGTGATTGAGGACCTGGTACGTCAAGCAAGAGTGAGAGGAGGGTTTGCGGGGTTTTGGGGCGGCATGGAGGCGCTAGTTGGGTGATACTCGTGGTGGTGATATAGGGTTGTTTATGCGGTTAGCATGCCTTTGCATAGTGCATATGGCCCTCTAGTAAGACCAAGTTCCAATTGTAAAGATGGCTAGGAAAGCGATCCTAGCAGTTTGTGTTAGGTGCGCCTTCACTGGCAGGGCTGCGTGCAGACTAAGATTAGGCGCTCGTCCACACGATATACGCACCCTATCTCGTGCGTAGCAGGCAACGTGTCGGCTTTAAGCGTTGGTGCCACCGTGGTCTGGCGGTGTACCAGTCTGGCTGGGCTTGCTGACCCGTGGGTCACAAGCCCCCATGAGGCACTCCGCTCGTCTGCTGCTGCTTACCCATTTGGCCGGACCGTGTGTGTAACCGATAACGACATCCATGACCTTATACCGGTAGCAGCCCGCCGTACGCTGATGCCCCCATCTCGTGTTTCGGCGTTACGGAGGCCAATAGGTAGAGCCCCCGTCAACTGCAATCTCGCAACACCAAGGACGCTTGTTTCCCAGCAGCACGTCCAGCCGTCCCATGGCCCATGGGTCGCCACTGCCGCTCCGCAGCACGAGTGGAGTCAGGTAGGGTTTCAGACTCTTGAATCGTTATCCGTATGGTGACATGTTGCGAGGCCCGTGAAACCCACTTGGTTGCTCAGGTGGCGTGGAGAGGGCATGAGGTAAAGTGGAAACAACCAACTGACTGTGGGACAAGGCGTCATGAGGTGGCTCATTGGGGACTGGGGAAAGCTGTTCATGTCGTTACTCACTCATGCCCTTCGGCTTGTTCCCAGATTTAACTACTTCCAATTGTTCCTCATTTACTCCTCAGATACAGAGTGCGCAACAGCCTTCGATAACGATGTAACAACGGAGAGTGGATTGCATTCGCCCCATCCTCCTACGGACACATCGCATCTATGCGGCAAGACAATGCAACACCCGCCGCTCAACCAAGTTCGACACCTGCGGGCCGATGGGCCTTTGCCTCCGCGAGTCACTAGGGCGCGCAGTACCTAACACCTGAACCTATCTCGTGTCTGGGATGCAGTGGCATCGACCGAGTCTGGACAAAATCTGTTAAAGCCTGCTTCTAAGCTGACTACATACGCAAGCCCCCAACATCCAATTCTCAATACCAGCATACCTCGTTCATTACCCTTAGCATTAGGTCACCAGGCTCGCAACAGCACGCAAATCACCATCAGTAAACGCTTCGACCAAACAACGAGCTACGCACGTCCCTGGCCTCGTGTCACCCGAGCCCACTCCTCACAAGCGCCAAGCCACCAGAACCAGCTTACATGAAGCTGAACATCTTGCTGTCCACATCGTACGCAATGTCGGGCAGGTAGTTGCCCTTGGCCATCTCAATGTCGTGGTTGTTAGAGACCCACAGCAGGTAGCCCTCCAGCGCCGCGGAGGAGATGGACACGCCCTTGGCCTCCAAGATGCGCTGTGAAGAACAAAAAACGGGTTGAAAGGAAACAAGTCTTAGGATGTGGCAGAGTGTAAAGGGTAAATAACCTGGTGCATAACAGATAAACAGCGCATGTACAGCTCTCACTGCGGAACCTGGGAGGACACAAGGTGCAGCCCCGGCCCTACCTTGAGGTCCGACACCTCCACCAGATCGTCCCGGCCGCGCTCCTCCAGCATGGCGCCGATCTGGGACACAACAGCGGCCTTGGCCTCCGCCGTCAACGACTCCAGCGTCGGGAAGGCCTGCATGGTTCATATCAGGAGATCAACACATCAGCAAGAGCAAGAAGCATGCATGGCTGGGAAAGACAGTAGTCACAGGCGCAGCAACCTACCTCGCTGCCCGATGCAGCCGCCGCCGCCGCCGCCATCGCCTCCTCGTGGCCGTCCGGCACGGACTGCACGCCTGCCGCAGCCAGCGTTGCGGCAACCTCGTTCGACACGCCGTTGCCGGCATTGCGAGCGGTGCGGCGGCGCGAGGGTGCAGCGCCTTGAGAGGGAGCGGAGGCACTGGGGCCCTCGCCGTCCTCCTCGGCCCGCGTGCGCTTGCCACGGCGCGGACGCTCAGCCCTGTGGAGGATGCATGTTGGGAGGAAAACGTACGTAAGCGCTTTACAAGCAGCAGGCGTTACCTGGCCATCAGATTGCAATGCTTGCATGCTAGTGAACCTTAACAGCAGGAGACGGACTCACGGTTGCTCTGCCGGTGCAGTAGCAGCAGCAGCGTCCTCCATCTCCTGGTCGCCGTCCTGCGCCGCCTGCTGCGCGCCGTCGCCGCCATCCTCATCGTCATCGCCATCGTCCTCACCGCCCTCCTCGCCATCGCGGCGCGCAGCCGGGTTGCCCTTGGGCGCGTTGGCCTCCTCGCCCACAATCTCCCGCCGCATCACGTGATCCATCAGGGCGCAGGCAACAGCCACATCCGTACGGCTGATGACGTCACCCAGCCGGACCTTGCAGTGCGCCGTGGCGAGACGGATGATGGTCTCCAGGCAACGCGGCGTGACGGGGAAGTTCCGCTGCGTGGGCGACAGCGCGCGGAGGGAGACGTAGTAGTCGACGATGCGCTTGACGGCGCTCTCCTCCATGACCAGCGAGGGAGCGGAGCCGGGACCGCCCTTGGCGGCGGCCTGGGCGGCGGCGCGGGCGTACTTGCGCTTGGCGAAGATCAAATACTTGCGCAGGAACTCTGTGGTGAGCACCTGTACAGATAGCAAGTGAAGGGGCAAGCTTGAGAAGAGTCTTTGCTCGGGTTTGAGGGGCTAGCGGCTGTTAGCAGCATTGATAGGCAGACAGCAATCCGTCGTTGCTGGCAAATGCGAAGTCCAAGGAAACGTACCTGCTGCTCGGACTCAGCCGCGGCGCCGTGCAGGCGCGTGTCCACCTTGAGCCACATGCGCAGGTCATCGGGGTCCTGGTCAATGGACAGGCGGCGGTCGTGGATGGTCTCCTGCATGGCGACACCACGGCCGTCGTCGCCGGGCGGGCGGTACTGGTGCTGGCGCAGCACGTGCAGCGCCACCTGGGGAAGGGGCCATGAAAGCACACGTTGTCAGTCTACATATGTAGCGAACGGGCTGTGAAGACTCATCCTGCGAACTATGTGAAGCCTTCTACAAATCCGTAGTGCAACAAGTTTTGAAAACGTACATGCATGAAAAGAAATATTGCCCGTACAACCCTCCATCAGCACAGTCCGCAAGGCCCCCACCTGGCGGTCGCGCTCATCGTTCATCGAGTCGAGCACCACAAACAGCATGTCGAAACGCGACAGCAGCGAATCGGGCAGGTTCACGTTCCGCGTGACGCTAATGTGCCGGTCATACGATCCGTACAGCGGGTTGGCCGCCGCCAGCACCGAGCAGCGGGCGTTGAGCGAGGTGTGGATGCCGGCCTTGGCAATGGTGACGGTCTGCTGCTCCATCACCTCGTGGATGGCCACACGGTCCTGGTCGCTCATCTTGTCGAACTCATCGATGCACACCACACCGCGGTCGGCGAGCACCATGGCACCGGCCTCCAGGCGCTTCTCGCCTGGGAGGAGAAAGGGGGCGTGGGAGGCGGGTGTAAGGAAGCGCAGCATGAATCACAGACCGAGGGATACCAAGTATAAAAGGGACATATATACAGCTGTTTTGCGATAGTGAAGCAGCTGTACGGCACCACCAGCAGGGGTAGGGGTATCAGGGGCAGCTTACCGGTCTCGCCGTCCGTGGTGACGGCAGCGGTGAGACCCACACCCGAGGAGCCGCGGCCCGTGGTGGAGACGGCGTGCGGGGCGATATTCATGACGGCGCGCAGCAGCTGGCTCTTAGCCACACCGGGGTCACCGACCTGCGGAGGAAAGACGGGGAAAAGCGAGCCTTTCGGGATTAGGAGAAGGCATGGACACGAGGGGAGTTGTGATTAGAGAGAGGTCTGAGCATAAAGCAAACGGAGAGCGCAGATAATGCCAGGTAAGGGACGAGAGCGTACTGACCAACACCGCCACCCACCATGAGCGCGTTGATGTCACCACGCAGGTGCGTCCCGTTCTCCAGCGTCTTCTCGAGGCCGCCGAACAGCATCAGCGCCAGACCTGCATGCCGGCAGCCGCAAGGTGTCAGAAGCGGTAAGCAGCAGGATGAGGTGCAACACGAGTCGCCCATCCAAGGCACTAGCAAGGGTAGCTCATGCATCAGCAAACATGCATGTACGCAAGCTCACCCTTCTTGATAATGTCGTGACCGTAGATGGAGGGCGCCAGCGAGCCTCCCAGCAGGTCCAGCACGCGGGGCCGCTGCGCCAGCTTCTTGATCTCGCGCGCGTCCGCCATGGTGACCTTGGTCTGGCTGTCCTTGTTGAGCTTGTGGACCGAGACGCCCACCAGCACAGCCTGGACAAGGGAGGGAGGACCAGCAGGCGAACAGCAGGTGGGTAATTAAAAGGGTACATGGTGGGCTGTGATTAGGACTTCTGTAACCTCAAAAACATCCACTATGGCATTCTCTCATAACCCCATGTGCTGCACATCGCGAATGTGCGACCCAGGTATTAGCACCCTTACCCGGTAGACTGCGGTGACGTTGCCGACTTGCTTGCCCGCCAGCGGCTTGTAGATGCCGACGATGGCAACTCGGTCTCCCGGCTTGGCCGAGTCCACCAGGTCGCCCTCGAGCACCACCTCCGTGGAGTGCGGCAGCTGGCCGGGCGGGGCGGTTTCGGGCAGCTCTTGGATGTGCAGCGTCTGAGGAGGAAAAGGAGCGAGAGGAGGAAAGGAGGCGGATGGAGAGGGTGGGTGGGAAGGGTAAGGGTGAAGAAAATTTTGTTAAGTAGAGGACTGTAGGTAATTGCTTATCAAAGGGAAGCGGCTGATACGCTTAAAACGGGTGAACTGCTATCTGTACAAACCTGGTTGTCGATGTATTTGCACAGCCCGAACTCGGTGGAGAGGGGGTGACCCGAGGCGTCAAACTGGGGGTAGGTGGTGTTGGTGGGAGCGCCGCGGAGCGATGTTACGTCGCGGTACTGCTGGGTGGTGTACTGCTTGGTGGCCTCCGAATAGTGCACGGAGGAGACCAGCTTGGGGCGGACCAGGGAGACCTTGGTCACGATGCCGAAGACGGCGACCAGCTTGTTGAGGAATGCGGACGTCAACTCACGGGGCGAAACCTCGTGGCGACCGAAATCGCCCTTCAGGCCAATCGAGATATGAGTGTTTCCAGTCTCCTCCAGCAGGCGCAGGAGGACTGGGTCAACTCCACTTTTGATGAAGTTTTGAAGGGCATCCTCGAAAGCTGGCAGGCACTCGAGGGGCTTCTGAAGCAGCTGCTGCAGCAACGCCTCATCATATTTACGAAGGTGGTGCTCAGCCACCATAAGACGACGCGTCTTAATGCGGTAGGCCTTGCCGTCGCCCTCGATGGGCTCATACAAGTCCTCCAAGGCGCGCGCATAGCTCCAAGTGCCCTGGCCTGGTGTGACGAACTCATACTCAAAAAAGCCAGCAAATAGACGAGTGATTTGCACTTGGACCTCGGAGTAGTCCTCCATGGTGCTGGCAATTGGTCAAGGGCTTTGAGTCGCTATACTTAGTCAAGGTCCCAAGGTCAGGTTGTCCCACTCTACATGCAAAAGTCAAAGGAGATTCGCAAGAATAGTGAATACAAGAGCGAGGTCAATGGGTCCTAAAGTACCGCGCGCAAATTCCAAATTCGCCGTACAGTCCAAACTCGTTACCCCTTAGCCGCTGAGCGCATCCTCATTTTATACGCCAAAATAGTCCCTTATAACCATCACAAGCTATGACACGTGCTAATATTAACCTGCAGCTTTCGGCGTCACTCGCACTCCCCAGCATGTTACGTCCTGCTTCGCATGCTGAAGCGTACATACGAGGACCTTATTTCATCATATATTGTTACCTGCACACGCAGAAGTGCAGCGGCGCCAGACCCTTAGCCCGTAGAGTTTAATGCCATTTCTCTCGATAGGGTCATGACGAGGGAAAGCACTAAGGGATCCATTTTGAAAGGAGTAAACGTTGATCTGACACCTAAGTGAACGGCATGTATTGCATTGGGGCCTGTCTGCTCAATTGTATAACCGGATGGTGACCCGGGGGACATTAACGGTGAGGATGGGATGGCAGGGCATTCATGCCCATACAGACATGAGCCGCGTATGCATTTTAGCAGGAGGCCTAACGAAGGTGGGCAGAAAAGCCCTGCGAGCACATTGTCTAATAATTACGGTCTTCCTACTTCGGTGCCGGCAGTAAATGAAGGGGTGCTGTATCCAATTAAAACATGGTCATGCAAGGTGCCTTGTCTTTCAGGGTTCCAAAGCCCGGGGCCCACCAATTTTATGCACCCCAGGTGCGCATATCACAGTAACGTGGTTTGAACCATTGCACCCACCACCCAAGATCGGCCTGGTAATCTGACAATCTTTGCGCCAGGTCCTCATGCACAGAAGCGCTAGGTCCCCATGCGTGCACAGCAGAATCTCGTTTAGCGTTTCACATCATGGTCTCGGGCGCCAGCATCTGGACGTACAATGCTACAATCGTGCGTTGCCGCATGTCACTTGCGCTGGCGCATTTTAACCTGGAACATAGGTACCAGGAGAATTACACGCATGTATGAGCGACCGTTACAATGGTTTCCTACAAGGGAACATGGGTGATGAACCCAACCCTACGCTGCAAGCCAAACGGAACAAGCAGCAAAACGAAACCAAGGATAATCACACATGTTGCTGCCATATATCGTGAACCAATCCACAACAACCGCAAACAGCCCTACATTCGCTCAGGTTCCGTTGCAGCAGGCTTGCTGGGGGTTCGCTTGCCCTGCCCCGCCCCTTCTCTCTCCTCCTTCTCTTCTCCTGCTGCCCCCTCCGCTGCCGCCCCCACCACTCCCAGCTGCAGCAGAGTGCGGTGGTACGTGGCGCACTGCTGCTCCAGAGCCGCCAGCTCCGACCCGCAGCGCTCCACCACCTGGCGCAGCTCCGACTGGGGTGCGGCGGGTTGGGGCGGGGGCGCAGGAGGGTGCCGTGAGAGAGCGGTGAGGGGGAGAGCAGGAAAGGGTCAGTCAATTGAGGTTAAGAAGCCGCTTGCACACATCTCTCCTTCATCTTCCGGCAATCTCAGGACGTTCCGACTCGCGGCCAGTTTTCTTAACACACACCTCCTGTTTTCCTATACAAGTTATACAACCCAAGCCCCGCCGCATCGTCTTTCCCCAGTTCATCAGGTTCTGTTAACACCTCTTGGCACCTTCACCATTAGCCTTGTCATCACACTGCATGGCTGCCTCCCAGCCCGCGTCCCCTCCTCTCCTCCCCTCATCCCTTCCCCCTCACCTCCCCTTCCCTCTCATGCCCGCCCCCACCTGCAGCCCCTCTCGCTCCTTCAGCAGGTGGCGGATCATGTCGTCCTTCACCGCCAGCAGCCGCTGCAGCGCCTCGTGCGAGGTGGCCAGCTCGCGCAGGTAGGCGGCCTCAGCGGGGAGCGACAGCGCGGCGGCGGGGTTGGTGGAGGAGGAGGGGGGCGCGGCTGGCCCGGCTGATGGCTCGTTAGGGGCTGTTGGTCCTGTTCCCTGTCCTGCAGCTGATGCTGCGTCCGCCTCATCCGGCAGCAGCCGGGAAGCTAGCCTGGCGGGGCGGGGGAGAGGGGAACAGACAAGGGGAGGAGGTGGGCTTCAGGGGGGTTGCGAAGAGGAAGGAGGCGCACCGTATGAGACATGAGTAGATATGAGAACATGAAATCTTAACGGGAGTCCATGCACGGTCGCGGTTATGGTCACTTGGAGGGGTGTGTCATGGAACAGATAAGATTGGGGGTACCGGTATGTAAAAACGCAGGGCAAAGGCACACAACCTCGGACAATCCCTGGGTCAGCTCGTGCCTGGCCTAGCTCGGGTCTACCTAAACAGCCCCCTTCCACGCCTCCCACCGGCTCCCCTTCCCTCGCCTCCACCCCCCCTTCACACCTCTCGCACGCCTCCGCCAGCGAGTGGTAGTCGTTGAGGAAGTCCAGCGGCCCGGCAGCGGAGGCCGCCACCACCTGCCCCAGCAGCCGCTGCACGGCGTCAAGCTGGCCAGACACCTCGGCCTGGGGGTCGTTGGGGGGTGATGGAGGTGTGGGGTGTTGGCTTGGGGGGCCAGATGTGGCGGTGGGGTAGCCGCATGGGCCCTGTGCAATAAGAGCGGTGCGAGTACCGGTAGTCGGCGCTTGACATGTGGGGAACCTAGGTGCCGGTCACGGCTAACATAGCAGCAATCCTTGCACGACAGTAAGGTGAGTTGGCAATGCAGGGAGTGTGCATCTGGCGCGACTGTCAACCCCCCCCCCCCACCAAACACACACATCGCCCCCCCACGCGGCCCCTGCCTGCTGGCGGCCCAGCAGCGCCCGCTGGCGCCCCTCCGCGGAGTGCAGCCGCGACAGCATATCCTCAGCCAGGGCCTGGGGGGAGAGACGCGCAGGACAGGGCAGGGGCTTGCATGGGCCGTGCAGGACATGAGGTAGGGTACCGGCACAGCCCCAAAGCGCGCTTACAGGCGATTGCTATGCACGACGTCCTCCTCTTCCTTCTCCCGAGCTTCTTCTACCTCATGCAGGCCGCCCCCCCGCCCGCCCCCTCACCGCCACTTCCCGCTCCAGCTCCCCCCTGCGTGCCGCCAACTCCGCCTGCCGGGCCGCCAGCGCTGCGTGCCGCCGCAGCAGCGCCTCGCGCCGCCCCAGCAGCCGCCCGTTGACCGCCGCCTGCAGCGCCGCCAGCTTGGAGCGGTAGGCCTCGGGCAGCGGGACCAGCGAGTGGCCCTGAGGGGGGGGAAGGAGAACGGACAGAAAGCACAAATTAAGGACATGAGGCGGACGGAAGGGCAAGGCAGGCGGAGTGGGAAGGAGACATAAGTCCGAGGGCGGGGAGGGGCTGGCAGGTGGCAGCCACTGAGAAAAGCAGGGGAAGGTTTGGACGGTGAGGTTGCGAGAGCACCGGTATTCCGTGGGTTCGTGTCCACGGAGTTGAGCTCTCCGCACCTGTCTACTGAGCTCCCGGGACATCAGGGCGTCAACGAGGACCACTTCATGCGTCGTGTCGTCGTACAGTATGGTAAGATCCGCGCCGTACTGCTGCTGCAGCTGTTGCAACTGCTGTTGCTGCTGCTGGGCTGGGGGCACCAGCACTAGCTGCGGCAGGGCCGGCGGTTGCGCGGGCTGCGCGGGCCATGCAGTGTGGCTGGGGTGGCAGGCCCCCGGGTGCAGCTGCTGCTGTGGCGCTGGGGGCGGGGGAGGCTGCTGGAAGGCTCCTGCAGCAGCGCCCCCCTGGGCTGAGGAGGGCCATGCAGCTGCCATGCAACATGCATGCGCTGCCGGTGGCCCCGCTGCCTGCGGTCTGGGTGCTGCTGGCGCGGCTGGGGCTGCTGCTGCTGCAAGGGCCGGGGGTGCGGTAGCTGCGCCCTGTGGAGCGGAAAACAGCGGTCGCGACGAGGGGAGTCCGTCAGGCCGGAGGGACAGCGCCTGTAGGGGCTCCAGCAGCTGGGTCGAGCAGGAAGGGCAGGAGTGCGGCAGCGGTGGTGCTGGTTGCAGTGGTTGCTGCGGTGGTACCGATAGGGACCCCGGTGGGTGCGGTGGGGCAGGTAGCGGGCTGCCGGGCATGGGCGCCAAGTGAGGAGCACAAGCAGCAGCAGCCCGCATGGTCCCTGCCAACGCTGGTGCTGACGCTGCTGCCGGTGCTGGAGCCGCTGTTGCGGGCGGTGGCGGCATCAACTGGACGTTGTTCGGCAGTGTTGTGCAGCCGAAGCAGCGATGGGCTGCTTGGCAAGAGCTGCTGTTGCAGCCGCACTGTTGCGACGCCATGAGCAGTGTTGGTGGCGGGCCGAGGGCGGAGGGTGGAGGAGCGTAGGTCTTAGTGGGGGTGGAGACGACAGCTGTTGGGCAGGGTGGAGCTGGGGGGCAAGGGCCAGACGGCAGCAGGGCGAGATGGGGGTAGCTGGCAACCTGCTGCGACTGCTGGGGCTGGGGCTGCTGCTGTGGTTGCTGATAGTGGGTAGGCTGGAAAGGATGCGAGGCTGGGGGGCCTGCATGGGGTGATGGGTAATGTTTTGCTGCTTAGGAGGTCATCAAGCAGCAGGGATGCAAAAGCGGTTGTGGCAAAGCCATAGCCCAAGCAGTCTAGACGTGTGTATTCACTTCGTGCCCTTGCCTACCAGTATGCGGCAAGCCCTGTTGGACATGCATGGCCGGCTGTGGGTGGGCAGGGGGGGCGGCGCATGGAGGCAGGGCGCTGGGGCCTTGGCAGGGGCTAAGGCTGGCGGCGACGTTGTAGCTGGATGCGGAGGTCGTGTGGTGATGTCTCACGTTCGGGCTGGCCGACGAGGGAAAAGCTGGGGAGCATAAAGTTAATAGGTGAAATTGGGCTACATGCAAGATGGGGTGTGGAAAGGTAAAGAGGTAAAAAAACAGTATGACTTGGCGAGAGTAGGATAACGATGCACTAAATGGCGTTGAAAGTAATATGCTGGTATCTACCTTTTGGTTGCTGGGTCCTCCTTGAGTTCCGGCGGGAGCCTTGTGGATGCTGCTTATGGTTGGATGGCTCGCCCCAGTCATCCTTGCGCCTGCGAGCAGTCCCTCGTTTCGCCCGAGTGCAGGAATCCCGAGGACTGCTGATATCGCTGCAGCTGCTTATTGTGGACTCCGAACTATCCGAGTAACGGCGTCGACTGCTGTACGTATACTCGTCGTTGTTGTCGCGAAAAGCAACTCTCCCGGGAGAGCGACCTGTAGAAGGAGCTGGAGGCTCTCGGCTGCCAGAGGAGTCAGAGGCCATCTGCTGTGCAGACGACCCCGAGGGAGGCGATTTCCGTATAGTTGTTGACATGCTATCACTAAGGTACCTCCTAGGCTGTCATGGATTGGCAACTACCAAAACAGCATCATGCTATTCAACTATGTAATCCGCTATAAGTCAACAGGACAACCGAGGAAGGAGGATGACTGCAAGTTTGCACCTTGCAGGGGCATAAAATGTTAAAAATGCAGCCAAAAGCTATATGACAAGCAGCACTACTCAAATTTGTGGGTATTAAGCTCTCTGATAGAGCGAAGGTGTTCCGGATAATACGAGCAACCGACAGATGCTGGATCCAAGAAGGTTGACCGACTACCTAGCCCATGACCTCGGTATGCCCATTAGCAATCCAAGGAAAACATTAACAATTCTGTGCACATAAGCTCTTGCCAAATCATTAGCCAGATCTTCCAGTTGGGCCCTTGCGTGGCATGCAATGCGCCCGCCTTCGCTCGTCACACCCTTTCCCACCAAACAGTCTGCAACTATGAGCTGGCCTTGTTACTGTCGAAGTTTGTTGCTTTCGTCGATCGTGACGCAACACTTGCAACCCGTTACAGTCTTACAGAAGGCAGGAGTACATACATTGCGGAGCTGTCTATCTTACTAGCATGCCACCTGGTCCGAGGAGGCGAAGCTGTTGCGGGTCGAAGGCATTGGCCCAACACTGCCGCGTGACTGCGCTAGACGGATGGGTTGCAATTGTGGAGCCCTGAAAGCCATTACTATGAACAGTATGAAGGGCCGCCGGGCTCTTCTTGGCTGCTCATGGCAGGCGATTTCTGGCTCTTGCGTATCGCGCTGCCTGCAGCACCGCCGCGACAACCATTTCCCTCCTACCGCTCCTCCACCTCTGATCGCTCGTGTGCCACCCCTTCGCTCGTTGTCTTTTGTTACAACTCCATTCGACAAGTTAGAACATGCGTTGAGAAGCCGCTCGGTTATACACCGTTCTCTCCACTAACACGTACGGCCACACACAGCATATCGCCGTCCTTGCAGCTAACCCTTCAGGCCTTTACCCACACCTAACCCATATCAACATAATATAAATTAGGCGCTACCTACAGTTTAGCTAAGGAGGAACTGCTAGCTAAAGGTCATCCAATAAAACAAAAAATGCCCACAAGCGCTTCAGAGCGGCAGAGGACCCATGGGTCTGCATGTGTGTTTAACAAGCAATCAATCACTACATCCCAGGATATGCGGCAAGGGCACGAGACGCCCGAAAATCCCCACACAATGATCCAAAGCGCAGACTGGCGCTGGCTGCAATTATTACCGGTACGGAGTTCAACTCCCAGAGCAGCGCTTCCAGAGTAGTTCCAAAACGGAACTCCAACTGACAGCTAGCGCACACGTACTCAGTTTAGCCCTACCCCAAAGAATAGTTAGATGGCATATTATCGTGCATGTCAGCGTGCACCCAACCCCACATCACGTACCACATGTAGCGCTCTTGTATGTAATGAATGCGCACATTCGCACACTTGAGCTGCCGGTACGCCAAAACTGACAACCACTTCAGTGGTGAGGAAAGCAGAAGCATGGCAGGCTCTTGGGCTTAATTCGCCGTAATCACACACACGCGTTGTTGACAGTAATGCAGTATCTGTGTACCATTTCCTTGTCTCACACACGATGATAACCATTAATTGAAATACCCACACAGTGCATGTTACCGTACCCCCGCACACCCATTAGCAGGTAAGTGCGCATTTACACACTGGCGCTGCCGAATGAGCTGAGCAATCGAGCGGTTAGTAATGCCAGGCAACGTGAGTAATTACCCCTTTCACATTTATGCATTACCCAAAATCCATTACAATCTATAAACACTAAAGAACAGCATGTTCCTTTTCCATGTCTCACACTGCGCCTGCCACACGGCGCTGGCATGGCGCTGCAGTTAGGCATACACACACACACGTTCCGACTCGCGGCAGTCGGAGTTTTCTTAAACACACAGATTTAAGCCGCACATACCCCATGCAACGGTTGCCTACTCGCACCGCCCTTCATCTGCATGCATGCTCACCCCCACGGCACTCCCACTCGGTACGGTTAGGGTTGGTATTCCTCGCAGCTCAGTTTATTTAACCGCCACTTCGCGGTGTCCATCTGAAGCATGGACAGCAAACTCCGCCCCCAGTTAGCCCTTGTACTGCACCCTAGGTATCGGCCTGCCAACCACCCGCTCCAACGCCCAGTAGTACCGCTGCTCCACCGCCGTCACGCGTACCTCCCTGCCTCCACCCCCATCCCCGCTGCCGCCACCTCCATTGCCATTGCTGCGGCTTCCAGTAACACCATTGCGGTTGCTGCTGCTGGTGGTCTCGGATTGGCTGCTGCTGCCTGCCCCGCCACTGCCAGCAGCGGCGTTGCTGCTGCCTGCTCCGCCCCTCCCCCTGGGTCCCAACTGCGTCTCCACATGCGCCCACACCGCACAGCCGCTGCGAGAGATGGTGTGCGGCCTGACCCGTGGGTCGCCGCTGAACGCCATGTGCACCCCAAAGTACGACACCACGTGGCTGTACAGCAGGCTCTTGTGGTGCCAGCCCTCGCGCCAGTGGCGGTAGTGCTCCAGGGGGTGCTGGTAGCGGTTAGCTGGCCGGGGGCTAGCGTCCATTTTGCTGCTGGTGCTGCTGCTCCTGCTACGGCTGTCCTTAGGAGTACCGCTGCCTGCGCTGAAGGGGGCAGCGGCAGAGGCAGAAACGTCCCCGCCGGCGGCATTTGCAGCGGTTGAGACAGCTGCAGCAGCAGCAGCAGCAGCGGCGGCGGCGGAGGAAGAGTTGCTGTCCGTGAGCCACAGGGCCCTCTCGAGCGCCGCTGCCGCCGCCGCCAGGGTGGCGTTCCGCAGTCCCGCCTGCAGCTGCGCCATCACCACCTGCACCTGCGGCCGCGGGCGGAGCCACGAGGGCAGCAGCGGCTGTGGCGAGGAGGAGGAAGAAGAGGAGGAGGCAGCACTTCTGGCAGGGAGAAGGATTCCCTGCTGGCGGGAGGACACCAAGGATGAGCGCGACGTGGGCCCCGTCGCGGCGGCGGCGGCGGCGTCACCCGCTGGGCTTTGTCGTACAGCCGCCTCCGCTGCTGCCGCAGTGAGGCATGTCGTACAAAGCACGGCTCGACGGGGCACCCAGAGGGCTCCAGGCGGGTGGGAGCCCCTCGGGGAGCAGAACAGCAGCGCCTGTACGGCAGCAGAGGAGGAGCGGCGGTACGACAGTACGACAATGCGTGGGAGTCAGAAACGCACAAGGTGTTATTTCAGGTGAAAGCGCTCTTTCACGACTCCTGGTTAGGGCGGTCCAGCGGCCATGCGACACCCCCCACAGCCCCCCTCCCAGGCTCCCACCACACGCACCAGCTCCAGTGACAGCGGTTGGGACGTCAGCAGGAACTCATCCAGGTCCTGCAAGAGGGCAGGCGCGGAGGCGAGAGGACAGTTCAGTGAGGACAACGGAGTGGAGGGCACTGGGCTCAGATAAGTGCAGCAAGGACGGGAACTCATGATTTGGGACGGGAAGCTCGGTCGCTGCAGACCTGATAGAAACATGTCTAGGGGTCGTCGCATCTTGACAATTACGCCCGACACCGCGGACTCGGTATCGGTAGGGGCCGCTAACCCTCACTTGTCTAAAGTCAACCTGCCGCTTCCTATTCCTTTGCACTGACTTGTGGTTCCTGTGGTTTAGTGTCCATTTGGCCCTGACATCACAGTTGGTTTCCTGTTCACCCACCCAACCGCTTACCGCCACCGCCACCACCGCCGCCTCATGCCACAGCGTCAGCAGCGCATGTTGGTAGATCAGGATCTGTGGCGGGGGCGAAGAGGTGTACGGTAGGAGAAAGGGGCTCAAGGTTTGCTAACCCCTCGGAAAACCGCAAGCCGTCCGGGCAGTTGATCACGTGACGTCAAAGCACTACACGTCGCTCTGCCGTACCGTTTGCATGCATGCATGGATGCGCCCATTCGTACAAACCTGGTTGGCGTACGGATGCCGTACACCGCCACTGCTACCGGGCAGAGGGAAGGCCGGCAGCTCTCGCCACCGTACAACCTCCAGCCGCCCCGCCGCCACGAGTGCCGTGACCCGTGGGTCAGCAGCGAGCGCCTCCTCGCCTTCCTCAATGTACACCAAGTGTCGCTGCACACCTGGGATACAGGAGTATTGTAAGCGCGGTAAGCGCGGAAAGGGGAGCGTTGTGTTAACAGCTTGACGGGCGTTGTAAAGCCGTCGTGAGGTAGGCGGAATTAGATACATGCGATTGACAGAAGCATGGAGTGAAGACAGCTCCTCGCCAGCCTCTTGGCTAGCTCGCTGGCCTGCCGGCTTGCAGGCTGGAGACCGGGCATGTTCCTGTTGCGTTAAGGACCTAACAAGACCATTACCTCGCGCCACTCACCCAAGGCTGCGTGGTACTCAATGTGGTGACGCAGTAATGTAATGAAGTCGTACGGATCCAGATTGAAGTACGACGAAACCACCATGTAGGCTGGCGGCGCAGAGCTGCTAACCGGTGGCGGCGGGGAAGGTGGCGGTGGTGGTGGCGGCGGTGAGACTTTCACCTTACCCCGGCTCAAATTCCAGCCCTTGTGCCGCCACCTTTTGGAGCCCTTGGTGCTGGCAGGTGTGACGGTTGCCTTTTGTACGGCTCGCCACTGGTTAAAGAGGTTGTTGTCGTACGCAATGCGGTCTGGATCCAGCCAGGCGCATGCAGGGGCTCCTGGTGCTGCTGTGTCCCCTGGGTCAGCTGAGGATGCACCGGCAGAGGCGGATGAGGAAGATGGCGACTTAGCCTTCCGTGCTGCCAGTGGCCGTCGATTGCCGAGCATGGGAGTATAGGCACACGCTCCTTCGAAACCAGCGGCTAATACTTCAAAAGCCGGGGCAGCAGCTGCTGACGTAACTGAGGAACCAGTGGCAGCAGCATTGCCAGCGGCTGTCCTCAGCAAGCGCCGTACGGTGATGTCAGTTTCGGCAATGGATCCAGAATTTAAATTCGAGTTCGATCCGGCCACGGCATACAGCTCGGCTGGATCCAGCGAGATCTCTGCTGACAGGCGACCGGGCTCCCGACGCAAGCTGGGGTTTATAATCCAATTTTCCGGCTCTCGGTACGACAAGCGAATGCCGTACTGCTTTCCGGACCAAAGAGATCTGTGACGTGATACAGGAATAGGGGTCGGGTGGCGAGAAGTGATGTGAGGTGGTATGGCAAGATGGCGTTAGCCCTGGCTTTTGGTTTTGGCCTAACCCGGGATGCCATAGGGGCCTTTCGACGTTACACCTCTGGTTGGGAGCCTTGACACCCAGGACAGCCCAACCCAGCCACAAGCAAGTATCTAAGATATTAAATCCATTAGAACCACCGTAGAACTACTAAATTACTTACCGTACTGCTAGGATTTGGTCGGTCCCTTTCGCCAGCCGACGAGCCGCCTCCAATAAGGCTTCACGAATGACCCGTGGGGCACTGGCAACGCCACCTGAAGGCTCCATTTCTGCTGCTGTGTCCTTGGACTGATTGTGTGCGGCCCATAGCAGCGTGCCGAGGGGCTGTTGGTGCTGGGTGGTGGTGACGGGCCGGTCTAAGAGCAGCATAAAAGCTGAACCTGACAAGAAGAAATTTGGCTGCTCGTTGCTACTGCCGTCATTACTGCTACTGCTATTGGTGCTGATATTGTTATCCAGTGGTGAAGGGTCTACGCAAGCTGTAAGAAAGACGTACAGCCGCACCCGGTCTTGGCCCAGCTGACCCTGAGAGTGATCCAAGGGACATACTGGCTGAGGCATTAATTGTCGTCAGACTGGGTGAGAAGAAAGGGCATTGCATAAAGGGTGCAGCGTTATGAAATAAGCTAAAGTGGCTTGGCAAAGTCGTCTCGTCCTAGCAGTCCCAGTCAAAGGTTGGGTGAGTGGAGTGCATGCATGTAATGAAACGATGGACGGGGAGCTCTGATGTTGGGACATGGTGGTCGTATATACAGCAGCGACATACGTCTACGCACTACGGTGACAGGAAAACGAATCCCGTCTTCCTAAGGGGCGGAGCAGAGTTGAGTCAGACCGACCTGGAACTCGCATTTCTGGACGCCTACATCTGCGCTATCCAATACATCCTGGACCAAGGCGTGTCCCGCAACTATAAAGAGCAGCAGTGCAGGAAAGGTTACTCTTAGCATAACGACAACCCCTTGCAAACGACCATCGTGTCGTTGTGCTCCATTGCGTTAGTGTACGTAAGCTATATGACTTAGAATTCTATATGCCAGTAGGGTAAGTGAGTATGTAAACAACCTCGCCGAAGCGCCGAATAAAGAAGTCGGTGAGTCGGGCCGGGCGAATCGTACACTCAGTGACGGGAAGCGACTCCGCGTCAGTTCGCATCCGTTCCTCTTTGAACTAGAGCGCTGCTTTTGGTCCTGCTGCTTGATACGGGTTCACTTGATTCATTTACCTAGCCTTTCCTGTACGCGATTCCGTACGGGCTCGGACGTTCAACACAGCCCCCGTAATTTATTTTACAGTTTTTGAATACTAAATCCGTAAGCAGTCTTTCGTCATACACGCTGGAAGATATGGAAGGCAATTGTTTGGATAACAGCAGCGCCGAAAGCGCTCACGGTTCAGGAATGAACGATCCCACACCGAAAGCTGCTGCTTTAGATGCGGCCACGGCTGATCAAGTCAGCCAGGATGCCCTTCCGCAGCGGCAGAGGAACCGGTCAGGAAAGGACCAGGTAAATTCCACGGTTGCAGCACAAGAGCTGAAAGAAAAGGAGCAAGCCTTCACATCTGGACCAGAAGGATCCTTACTACCAAGTGTTGACTCAGCAAAGGCCATGGTCGCCCTTGCGCTACGGCCCAGGGCGCCCGGTTCGCATGCCGAAACCAGCGCGTCAAGCTCCGCTGCTGCTTCCTCCAGCCCTGTGAAGGACAGAAACAATCGTGATCGGAACAACAGGCGATCAACCAAGCCGCCGAGCGGATCTTCCGCAGCGCCCAGCGTGGCCGCTGCCACCATCGCTCCTTCTCCAGTTGAGGACTCCTCCACAGCTGAAGCTGCGGCCGCGGCTGCCACCTCCGCTCTTGTCCCGTCAACGGGCGACAACGCAGTGGCAGGTGGTAACATGACCCCGAGGGTCAGCTCAACAGCTGGAGCCCCGGCTGCCGACCTGGAAGCTCTAGCCGCAGCCGCATCTGCGGCAGCAACGGCCGCGGCCTTCAGCAGCCTTAAGCTCGCCACGGCCGCTGCCACCCTCCCAAAGCCCCCTCCCCGGCCCCGGCCCGCGCAAACCCCGGCTAACGGGCACCGCTCTCCGGCGACAAACACGCCACGGCAAACGCCCACGAAACGCGACACGCCTGCCGGGTCTACCAGCCCCGACCCCAGACGCTCTCCCGCCGCTGCTGCAGCCGGCGGTCGCGGCGCGCCAGCAACAGCCTCAGCAGCAGCTGCACCTGCTGATGCTTCCGCCCCTACCGCCATTGCTCCCAGCCCGACACCATCGAACCGCGGCTGCCGCAGCCGCCGCGCCACCGAGGGCAGCAACCGTACGGCAACAGCTGACGGCGGCGATTCCGGCTCCGACGTGTCAGGCTCGGCTTCTGCCGCCGCTGCCGCCTCATCCTCGTACGTGCCGCTTGCCGTACATCAGGCCCTTTTGGCGGAGCACTCTAGGCTGGCAGCGGATCGAGAGCTGCTTGCATGCGAGGTACGGCGGTTGGCGGCGCAAGTACGGCACCTGACGGCGCAGCAGGGCTTGCTGCAGGGGGAGTTGCAGCGGCTGCTGAGTAAGAACAGCAATCTGCATTCGGAGCTGGCGTCGCGCGTGGTGGAGTGCGAGAGCCAAGCGGAGCTGGTGGATATTCTGTCGGATGCCGTACGGGAGATCGTGCTGGTGGACGAGCACCCGGTTGTAGTACCGTCGGAGGTGGCGGTGGCCGAGGAGGAGGACGTGGCGGTTGTGGAGGAGGTTGCGGCGGTGGCGGCGGCGGAGGAGGCGGCTGTGGAGGAGGTGGCGGAGGAGAAGGTCGGGGAGACGGTGGGTGATGGGGACACCAAGGAGGAAGAGGACTGTGCGGGAGATGAGGGAGAGGCGGCAGCGGAGGAGGAGGGTGGTGAGGAGGCGGCTGCGGGCGAGGCTGACAAGGAGGATGGGGAGGCGTCGAAGGACGAAGCGGCGGAGGCGCCGACGGAAGCATAGCTGGTGACGGGAATGTTTGCGGTGAATAGCTGACATCCAGCTAGGGCATGCTGGCGGGCATGACGTTCTTTGTCACCGAGAGCCGCGGCATGCTATCCATCTCTGGACGGCACTCCTGTTTCTTCCACGCACTCGTAGGATCTGGGGCCCGGTATAGGGTCCGCTCTGATACATGGTCAATGGTGATGAGTCATGAGTCAAACGGGGGCTATACACCTCGTCTCGCCTTGTCTGTTAAAGGCCTGCAATAGGGTTATGGATTTTAAGTATGTTAGCATGCTATGTACGGCCGGGGGAGGCTTGATGCAGTGTTACTGGAAGCGCACGTGCAGCAGCAGCCTAGGCGTGACGGCATGTGGAGTTAAGTCTGGTAGGACCTGCCAAGCTGCTATGCGCCTACCTGCAACGGCTGAATCGACTTGTTGCGAGTACTGCGCCCGGCACACACGGGCATGGTGCTGTACGGTATTGTAGTGCACTCGAAGGCTATACCGGCGTCATGTTCGCGTGCTTGTGTGAACGTGCGTGCGGGCGTTGAAGCACGCCAAAGCGTTTCGTTCCCGTGCGAAAGCGGAGAGGTGCCGGATAACGGCCATCTTGACTGTGTGTGTTTTAGGGGAATTCGGTTCTAGTATTCGGATTTGGCTTTTGCGACAAAAAAAACTCTTCTAATTTCCGAACGCGTCTATGTTTTCGAGATGCTTTGCATTGTTTTGGTATGCACTGCTGCTCTCAGGTTTCATTCGACGGCGCAGGCAGCACATGGCTTGTAGCGGGGGCATGCAACAGGGGCAAGCGCTGTTTGGTATTCTTCCGGCACAACATCATCCAGGCCCTCACACGGGACTGGATGCAAACTTGGCAACTTCATGTGTTGCATGCGACAGCTTGTAGGGAGCCGCTGCGGCTCTATAATCCGTGTTACTGTAGCCTATGATTGGCATTTGACACAAGATGGTTCGGTGGGTAAAACCACATGGTGCGCGCATTCATACTGCCGTCTGTCCTGGATGGAGTGCGAGGACCGGACTATACCAGTCGTACTGTTTTGTAAGTCTCTTGTACGGCAGCTGCATGCTTACGATGCTGACATTACGACCGCAACACACCAGTACATGGGACTACTGAGAGGAGCGCCCCGTGCCCGTGCGACGATACGTGTACCACATACCACCACGTACACCGCCCAGCTTTTCGAGATACATATCCCAGCATGGCATGCAAGAGTACGGTGCCAAAATGCGCTGCCGCAGCCGTCAATGCTTCAAGGATTGAGTTCACACATGCGAGTGTTCACATCAGATCACGAGCCGCGGCATTCCATCACCTACCCCCTTCCTCCAGCCCTCCGCGTCTGAACCCCACCCGGCACCCGTGATGCCGTCTTCCCTCTTCAGCCTCGCAAGGCCGGCCCCTGACTCCGCCCCTGACCGGGTTAGCAGCTACCAACAACGACGTTGGCCCCCATCCCTAGCAGCTCCCCTTCATTGCCCCTTCATTCCCCTTCCTCCTCCGCCTCCCTCCTTACATGCGGCATGCGGACACGCCCGCTGCGTGCAGTCCATCTTCTTAACATCCTCGCCTCCCACCTCACTCCTCATGCCACTACACCCCTATACTCCCCTCACTCCTCCTCCATCTCCCCCACGTACGCCGCCACCTGGTCCAGCAGCAGTCGTACGATGCTGAAGTCCGCCGCCAGCTGCACCGCCGCCGCGCCGCCGCTCACACTGGCCTGCAGCAGCCGCCCGCGCGCCCCCCGCTGCGGCCCGCCCACCACCAGCACCGCTGCGCCCGCGTGCTTGGGGACCACCGTCTCCAGGGAGGACTCGGGCAGCTGGGGCGGCGCAGGGAGCATCAGGGGCGGGGAGAAGATGTGTTAAGTAAAGGGTGTACGGCTTTGGAGGAACTATGTCATGCTAGCATATACCGGGGTAGCGATATGTATGCATGTCAGAAGACATACCGTAGATTGGTATATGGCCCCCATGCTCTACGAGCCCCGCCTTGCCCACGTTACCCGATCCATAACCTCCCCCGCCTCAACACCTCCCCCGCCCCTCACCCGCAGCACGTCCCCCGTGTCGTCCACCGCCACATCCGCGCTGCCCCCCGGGTGCACGTCCACCGCGGTGCCCTTCTTGAGGTATAGCTTGCCGCCGCGAACCCGCTTGTCCACGATGCGAACCTGCACATACGCACCAACCACGAGCAGGGAGCCAAGGAAAGGAATGAGGAGAGGGCGAGGGCGAGGAGGGAGGCGTAGCGCGCAGGGCGCGGTGGGAGACGAGCGTGCCTGGCGAGAGGGTGGCAGGCAAGCAGCCGGACAGCGCTGATTACGCCCCGCCAGGCCGCACGTTCCCAGCTGCATGCAGGAGGCACCCAAACAGGGCGCGTGCTCCTAACCCACACACCAGGAGCCCTCCCGCCTCACCCCACCCCACACCTTGATGTTAGGGAACAGCCAGGTGGGCCCACTGCCCCGCTGCTGCTGCTGCTCCTCCTCGCGACCGCTGCTGTCGCCACTGCCGCTGTCGGCATCCCGCCCGCGCGAAGAGGAGTACTTGTGTCGCTTCTTCTCCCGCTTGTCTCGTTTCTCATCCCGCTTATCCCGCTTCTCATGTTTGTGATGCTTCTTGCTGCGTCGACCCTCGCCCTCCCCCTCGCCGCCCCGCTCCCTCTCGCGCTCTTCGCTGCCCTCGTTTCGATCCCTGCGTTTGCGGTCACCGCCGCCACCATCGTCCCCATCACGGCGATCACGGTAGTCTCTGTCGAGTCCTCTGTCGTAATCCCGGTCCAAGTCCCGGTCCCGATCACGATCCCGGTCTCGGTCGTGCCGCTGCTCCCGTGCTCTCCGGTCCTCCCCTTCCGCCCGCTGCCCCTCTCGGTCCGAAGCGCCCCGCCTGTGGGGAGGTCGGGGTTCCATGGGCGGTCAAGCCCGCATGCGGCCGGGTTGACTTTGGACTTCAAACTGATACTGATGCAGGTAAGGGGCTAGGTCACGACAGTCTTCGTCAGTCCAGTCCCGAGAGCCGTCAAGCCCTACATGTCTACAACACGTGTCGCCGCCTCCCTCCCAGCAGATCAGGGCCCCACCTGGCATCAGCCGCTCCGTCCTCTCTGTCGCCCCGCCCGCTGCCACTGGGCCGCCCCGCATCCGCCGCCTCACTCCCGCTGCCGCCCCGGCCACCGCGCTCCCGCTCCTGGCTGCCCCTCCCCTCCCCTCTGCCGCCCGCCTCCTCCCGCTCCCGCTCCCAGGCCTCCCCCAGCTCCGAACGGAGCACCTCCACCTCCTCCTGACTCGCGGACAGCCGCACACGCCAGCGCTCTGAGGGGAGAGAGGGGGTTGAGAAAGGGGCGGCAAGGGGCGGGAAGCAGTGGGAGATGAAAGCAGCCGTGGAAGGAGGACGTAAGGGGATGGAGAACGCGCACGAAAGTCCATGTAAGCACCGCCCTGTGGGGTGACAGCGGAGCATAGTAACCGCCACGCAAAGGCAGGATTGTCAACGCGTGCCTCTTGCAAAGTCCACCGCCTTTCGCTTCCTTCCACCCAACACGCTCATAACGCGCCCAAGCAGCGAAAGGAGGAGCCGAATTTCTTCACCGCAGCGCCTCGGCACATGCATGCGACCCACCAAACCCCGCACACCCCCAGAGCCCTCTACCTGGCCCGCCCTCCCGCTGCGGCAGCGCCTCCAGTGCCGTACACGCCAGCCCCGCATGAGGCCCCGCCAGAATGCGCATCGCCTTGCCGGGCTTAGGGCCCGGCTGCACCTGTGAGGAGGCACCGGTGGGTGTGAGGCGTTACCGGTATGCTAGGAAAGCATGAAAATGCGGACGCGGTAGGTCCAGGGGGTGAGAAGATCTTCCAGGTCCATGGAACGGGAGGGGCTTTTGTCAGGAGGCAGCGGTTAAAGTTAGGGGCTCGGGGCAGAGAGGACGGGGGTGTGTTGGGATCTGTTGCAGTATCCTTGACCCCTGGCAACGGCGGCGGTAGGCACTCACCGTGTTGCGGGGTACGAGCTGCTCGTCCAGTGTACGGACGTTCCGTTGGCGACCGTTGGCATCCGGTGGCAGCACCAGGTCCTGCTTGCGTGGCTTGTCACCTGTTGGGAAGCGAAGCGACACGGTGCCGGCAGGTTACAGCACGTTCAGGCGTTGCATGGAAACACGTGGCGATCACCGCAGATGGATTGCAAGGTGCAAGGTACTCAGCAGGTTCAGGCAAGCCGCTAGGTGTCCACAAGCGTATCCTTGCACGGAGTGTATACGATTAATCACCTTGGAGGGGCCAACTCAGATCTAGAGGAGGACAGTCCCAAAGCGCTTACCCATTTTGACGGGCTTCTTAGGGTCCTCTCCCAGCTTCACCGGCTGCGCACCCAGACCCAGCCGCTCCGGCCGCCGCACATACTCGATTGCGTCCACCTTGCGGCGGTTGCGGCCAACACCCATGCCCTCCTCCCAGCCCATGCCGCGGAGCATGGCTCGACCAAACTCCTCGACGGGCATCAGTTCGTACGCCTGTACGGCGGTGGGAAGACAATTTCAGTAAGAAGACATCAAGGATTGTATTTTTGTTGCAATACAAGCGGTTCGAAGCGTGCAGATGACTGGTAGGTAGGGGGAGAGGAAGGATGGAAGTGGTGGTAAGCTGGCACCCACCTCCTCATCGGCAACATCCGGTAGCTGCTCCATGGCCTCGTGAAAAGCTCGCTCCTCCAGCACAGCGGCGGTGGTGCCGCCCCCTGCGCCACCTGCTGGCCGATCATCGGGCTTCGCCTCCCGCAGCTGCAGCCCATACTCGGTGATCACAGGCACCGTTGACGCTGCCTGGACGAATCGGTCCTCGCCAGCCCCCACATTGACTACGTCGCCGCTAGGTGGCTTGAACGTGGGAGTAAATTTCTTCGGGCCCACTCCAGCCTTGAAGGTGTTTTCGAGCTTCGGAATAACAAAGGACTTGTCCGTCACCGCTGCATCTCCGCCAACGACTTGTACTTTGTCGCCATCAAAGCCCGTAATCAGCTGTCCAGTATTCTTACGCTCTTCGACGTTGACAGCTACCTTTTGAACAGTTTTCTTTTTCTGAAACGTGAAGGCGAGCGATGCCTTTGCTTCTTGGCCGTCCGCCATTGTAAGCTGTCCTAATAGAGCCTGTGTTGTATGCAGAACAAGCAAAAGTGATCTACGTTACGACTAAAGCAACATTGGGGGCTATCCGCTCAAGCCCCGAGCTGTAACGCAGGTTCAGCGTAATAGGACAGATACGAAATTGAAGAGCTGCAGCATGAAATTTGGGCAGTAGATAGCTATACTCGGTTCCTGTTACTGAACGTAGAGTGGTTGACGACCGGTCGAATCCTGTCGTACAACCTAACATTGCGGCCAACCTAACTTGCAATTTATTGCATCCGCATCGTCTCTTGGTTTCTAAGAAGTTTTCTTGCATCATTGCATGTATGTCGTGCATGGTTCTTATTGGCATGTGTCTCCCACAAACGAGCAGTAGCCACGAACCCACGGTACGGAACGATGGCAATCAGGGATGCTGCTGTCGTTCCTCCCCTCAGCCCACATGCCATACCATTTCAGTCGGGAGCCCCTATGGCTGACGCAGTTTACTTCAGTAAAGCTGGTGGCTACTTGTGGTTCATTTAAGCATTCCAAGCGCTAGAAACGTTACATTTCCGCCGTTGTGTCGCCCGAAGCAGTTGCCCCGCGGTGGAGCAACGAAATACATTGCCCGTTATGGGTAACCCACAAAGGGTACAGGCATAGCCCTGAACTGTACCTATCCTCATGTCCGAGGAAGACTGCATCTGCGCAAACTCCTGCACCTAAACACCACGTTCTGTACATGACACGTAAGCAACGCGGCAATCATGAATAACATCACATGCAAATGATGCAACCCTGCAAGCAGTCAAGCGTCAACTATGTCCACAGTAGCTTGTCACGTTGTCAGCAGTTGAAAATGCCAATGAACTAACGACGGCCGCCCCGGCCCCGACCACCCCGAGCTCCACCCCGGCCCCTTCCCCTGCCTCCCTCCCGGCCTCCGCCTACATTGGCCTTTCCTTGGCCGCTGCCCTCGCCCTCCCCACGCCCCCGACCCCTTCCCCGCCCTCTCCCGCGGCCCCTGCCCCCTCTTCCTCCCGCCTTCGCAGCATCCCCACCCTTGGCCCGCTCCTCCGCCTCCTCCTGTTCCGCCCGGTCAATCAGAGCCGCGTAATCATCTGCGTCAGCAAACAAGCTGCCTCCCTTCGCCTTGGCACCTGCCGCTCCGCCCTTCTTGCCCTTGTCCTTCGCGCTCTCCTTGCCCGCCTTCCCTCCCATCGGAACCAGCTGCGGTGGCTCATCGCTGCCCTCTTCATCCTCCATGTCCCCGTCCATGTCCTCATCGTCATCGCTGCCGCCGCCCAGCAACTCCATCAGGTCGTCCCCATCCTCGTCCTCACTGCTGGCTTCCACCTCATCCTCGTCCCCATCCTCGCTGCCGCTGTCCTCCATGCCCACACCCTCCTCTTCATCATCATCATCGCCAGACGAGAGGTTCTCCAAATCAGCCTCAGTCAAGCCCGCAGAAGCCAACAGCTCCCGCTGCCGCTTCTTCCGGCCTGCCGCCCCACCCTCCTCCTCCCCTTCCGCCTCGTCGTCGTCACTGGGACTCGGCATGTCGAGGATGTTGACGCCCTCCAGACTGCCATCGTCATCACTGCCGCCGGCGTCGCTGTCACTGTCGCCCTCCTCCGCGTCCTCCTCCTCGGCCTCCCCATCCTCCATGTCTTCATCGTCGCCGCCGGAAGAGCCGCCCTCCGCCTCCTCGTCATCATCATCCTCCAGTCCCCCGCCCTCTCCCATGGCGTCAACGAGGTTGTCGTAGTCAAAGCCCACGTCGGGGTCGCCCAGCGCATCACCGACCATGCCCTCCTGCAAAAGATGCAAAGGGATCACAAGTCAACACAAGGAAACAGGTATCAGCATCTGCCTCTTGACAGGTGCGAAACACATCGTGTCAAGGAGCAATGCCGCCAGTAAACAGAGTACGGTGCATTATGCACAGCGCAGCGAGTAGTGGCAGTCACGCATGATCCAAGGAACTAGAACGAACAGGTACCAACACCGAAGGGCCCCTCACCTGTTTGTCCATGTAGCGGTCCACCTCCTCCTCATCCGCATCGCTGAGCGCCTCCTCGCTGTCCTCCTTCGCGCCCGCCGCCTCCTCCTCGCGGTCCTTCTTCGCGGTCTTCGCGTCGGTGCGGGCGGAGCGCTTGTCCTTAACGCCCTTGAGGTTGAGGAACTTGTGGAAGAACAAGTCCGCCGAGTCCACCTCGGCCTCCGCCAGCGCGGCAAAGGCATCGCTGCTGAGTTTGGCCAAACTGGCGTGTTGCGGAGCTGCTGCGGCCTTCTTAACGCCTTGGGACTGGGCGGTGGTGGACACTCCGGCAAGCGTGGCGGCGGTGGGTTGCATGACGGAGGTGCCGCGGGTGACAGGCTGTTGAGGGAAGGGAAGGGAGGAGCATGGGCGACAAAACGGGTGAGTGCGTACGCATTTAGGAGTGGATGTGTAGATAGTGAGGTTGATGGATTGTAGTTGGTAAAGCCGTCATGCAAATGCCTCGATTGTCGTCGTAGACGGCAACAGTGTTGACAAAACGTCACGCACTGCAAAGGCGCCGCTCGGATTCGTCATCTAAGTTTGTAATCATTCGGCTTGGGAGCAAGTTACGGGTATGCACAAAAGGCTCACGCGTGTGTTGTCAGTCATGGGTGCTTGCATACATGTGGTTAGAACTAAGCCGTCATGCAAATGCCTCGATTGTCGTCGCAGACGGCAACAGTGTTGACAGAACGTCACGCACTGCAAAGGCGCCGCTCGGATTCGTCATCTAAGTTTGTAATCATTCGGCTTAGCAAAGGGCACATGGCATGCTAATGTGCATAATGTCACGCATGGATTGCTTGCAAACATGTTATTGAAACTCTAGGCCGTCATGCAAATGCCTCGATTGTCGTCGTAGACGGCAACAGTGTTGACAGAACGTCACGCACTGCAAAGGCGCCGCTCGGATTCGTCATCTAAGTTTGTAATCATTCGGCCATATGCATACTCATGTGACTCATGCATTCAAGCTAAAAAGACCCACATAAAAAAACGAGACCATCCAAAACGCAACAAACACGAAAGTAACCTTCCGTAGCAACCTCCCGACCGCTCACCTTGGGCTTCTTGTTGACAAATTTGTCAAGGAAGGCAGCGAGGCTGAGGTCTCGGAGCGGGTCGCCGTCAAACACGACGGGGGCGCCGCACAGCAGCGAGCGAGCCATGGCAGCCACCGAGGGGTGCGCGTGGGAGGCTAGCGCGGTGAGCTCCCACCAGCACGAGCGGTCGGCGTTGGCGTACAGGGGCTCCCTGGGGGTGAGAGGGATGGGGTGAGTCAGCGCTTCAATGAACAGCAGCAATGGTGTAGTGAAACGGAACAACTGACGGCGGAAACTGGAATCCTCGAGCGAGCAGAGGCATGAGATGCATGAGAGGTGTGGTGTTATTACTAACGAGAGGTGTGGTGTTATTACTAACGAGAGGTGAGAGGTAATTACTAACGCGCCCCGCAACTCGAAATGCTCACCTCTTATCCATCTGGTAGTAACTGGACTGAGGCCAAGCCGCCTCCGCTGCGGCCGCCTGGGCGGCAGCAGTTGCGGCAGCAGCCTTAGCCGCCAGCGACCCCTCGCCGCCGCGCCCGCTGGTCGACGCGAGCGCATGCGAGCCACGTCGGACGCCATCCAAGTCGAGCTTCACACCCTTCTCCAACTCCGCATCCTCCTCCTCCTCTTCGCCTCCAGCCTTCTTACCCTTGCCAGCCTTGGACTTCTTCTTCCCGTCCTCCTCATCTTCAGAGCCATCCTGGTCTCGGAAAGTCTCCACGCCGTCATCCTCGTCATCAGCGGCCGGATCCTTGAACTCCTCGACCCCCGAGCCGCCCACATCCTCCGGGTGCGTGATGGAGGCCCACAGAGCGGGCTGAGCAGCGAGCACCTGCGACAGCAGCAGGAGCGCACCGCACGCCCAGTTGGGCTGCGCGCCCGTTGCCAGCTGCAGCAACCGCTTGGCAAAAGCCGCCACGCGCTTGACCGAGACGTCGCCTTGCATGGCCTTGAAGACGAGCGCCAGGAACATGGGCGCGCGAGAGGAGGTTGTGGGGCCGTCTCGGTCCAGAGCCGCGTATAGCGCGCGATAGTACCTGCGCGGGTAAGGACGGAAAATGAGTCAAAGCGATACCGAAGCATGCCTCTCAACCAATACCGGGCATGCAGCTAGTCATTTGTGCAATTATCCATGCAGGCACACCGTAAGCTACTGATACAGCCGAACTAAAGATATGGTAGCTAGCGAGCAACATTTCGTCCCCAAGAAGCAGCTACGAGCGCCCCAAGCTCCCAACCCACCGGTCATTGATCGACGCCCGTGCCGACATGAGCTGGTACATGAGCATGAGCGCCTGCACAGCCACCGTGAAGGGCGCCGTGTGCACCATGCGGAAGAGCTGCGTGGCGGAACGCTCCACGAGCGGCTCCACGTCGCTCGGCTGCACGTAGGGGAAGGCGCGGCGCACACCCGTGATGAGGCCCGACAGCAGCCGGGCGTCGACCTCCTCGGCCTGAGGGGAAAGAAGATGGAGGGTAAAGGCTTTAGACAGTCGTTTAAGAGTGTATTCAAAGCAGAAGGGGCAAGGAGAGGTGTATAAGAGAGTGATAGCGTGCAGGTGGGAAGGTGAGGAAGAGGGCGCTACTCACCACTGCGAGCTTGGGAGGCGGAGGCGGCCGGGCCTTGCGCTGGTTGGAGCCCCTGCCCTTGTCCTTGCCGCCCTCCTGAGCAGCCTTGCGTTGCTCCTTCCAGAACTTCTTCTTCTCCTCCGCGTACTTCTCTTCCTGCGAGGACCCGCACGGAACCAAGGTGAGACGATTTAGAAGAGGTGGAGACGAGCCAAGAGGCCACATGCGGACACATTCGGGTGGTCGGACCATGTGCGCAGCGAGCATGCGCTAACGGCAAGCCCAACTACCAACTGTCAACAGATTCAACGTTCATTGGCCTGGGGTCAGAGCCTAAAGTTGTCCACATACTGACCCGTGGGTCACTTGAGACTTCAACGAGAAAATAATGCCTCATCCTCCCCCAGGCCAGCTCTCCAACAACACACGGCATAACAAAACTGCACATTGCAACTCAAGACCAAGGCAAGGAGGCGCCCGCCCAGTCTGCCTATCGAAGGCACGGCGAGCAAACCCACAACAGTGAATCACCCACCCACCTGCTGCTTGCGCAGCTGAGCCGCCGCGCCAATGTGTCCCTCCACCACCAGTCGGAACAGCGTGAAGTAGAGGTCGATGAGCTGCTTGGCGAGTGCGTCGCCGCCCTCCGAGGCTCGGTGGCTGAGGGGCACTTGGTTGAGGAAGACCACGGCGTAGTAGCGGGCCTTGTCAGCGAGGTTGGGGCGAAACAGGAAGCGCTCGACCTGGGAAGAGGAAGTTGAGGATTGCGAAAGTAGAGAGCAGGTTAGCGAGCAGCAGCCGACAAAGGAGCTTAGGCAAGACGTAATTAAATGTAGCGAGGTTGCAGGTAGCGTGCAGAAGATGGATGTTTGGCGGCAAGGCCTGGTGGCGGCGCTAGCTAGGTAAAGCAGCCGCCTGGATAGGCCCTGCATGACCAATTCGTTTCCGCGACCTCCTTGCCACGCCGCCGCACGGAAAGACACAGCGGTATGGAGGTTGTGGCGCGAATATGTCGACCTAATTCAGTGAATGCAAGAAAACATATATACGGCGACTAGACCAAAAGGCAGCGCTACCCAAGACAAGCATCCGCCCAAAGGAGGCCCAGCATTACCAATTCGTTTCCGCGACCTCCTTGCCACGCCGCCGCACGGAAAGACACAGCGGTATGGAGGTTGTGGCGCGTGTATATGACGTGTGCACATATGCTACTGAAGAAGACCAACTTTGGTGAATGCAAAAAAACGAATATATGGCGACAAGACCAAAGGGCAGCGCTACCAAGACAAGCATCCGTCCAAAGGAGGCCCTGCATGACCAGGTCCCTCTTCGCGACCTCCTTGCCACGCCGCCGCACGGAAAGACACAGCGGTATGGAGGTTGTGGCGCGTGTAGTTGAGTAAAACACAGTGTGAAAGCGTGAACTACAGGCTTTATGGAATGCTAATTAGGTTACTTTGTGCTGTGCGGCACAGGACATGGAATGCGGCCAGGTCGCTCTACGTGTGCGGTCCTGACCATAAAACAACCCGGTGCACGAGGCGACATACGCCCTTCTGTTCGCACAGTCTTACCACTCCGCTCATGAACGGTATGCGGCGTGGACGTTGTAGGGCGGTTGAGCTGGATAATCATAAATCCACCCTCACCCGCATCCACATGCACCTTTCCCAATCCTCTGAATCTCCTTTCCCGTTCCCAAACCTCCATTTTCACCCCAAACCCGCCTCCGCCTCAGCCCCCACCCACCTCCCGCACGACCACCGGCTTCATGACGGGGTGCTTCACCAGCAGCTGCATCAGCAGGTACACCGCCTTGGAGGCGACCTGGCGCGAGGGGTCGCCCAGCTTGTTCACCAGCGCCGACAGTAACTGGCCTTCGCACTCGGGCTTGGCCGCGAGCAGCTCCCCCGCCACCCGCATGGCCTTCTCCTTGAGGAAGTCCAGGTTGTCCTTGCTGTGCTCCTCTAGGGCCGCCACGAATTGCGCGTAGCGGCGCTTCACGCAGTCCTCGGTCCACCAGAGCAGCAGCTGCTTGTCACCGTCGCGACCGGGCAGGAGGTGCGGCAGGGGCTGTTGCTCGAGGTATTTGAGCTTGCGGTCCGGTAAGAGAACAGAGGTGAAGAGCTCCTGATGTGGGTCAAGAGGGAAAACCAGGCAGGGTGAGTACGGCCCGTCACGGCAGGTGTGGTAAGCTACCTCGAATAAACGTGCACGCCATAAGCAGCGAAGTTACATGGTTGCAGCTACGCCTGCATACACCTCGTGACAACCTAGTCCAGGTTTCTCACCTGCAGCGCCTCCATGGCCTGCCGTACGAGCTCCTTGCCGCCTCCTCGTTTGGTGGCCAGCGCTACCAGCTGGTCCAGGGCGCGCATGTTGGCCGTCACATTCTCCTGTAGTGAGAAGGGGTCCAGACAAGTTGAAAGGACTGAAAAGTCTGGCATGCAGTGCAGGATGTGGGATTAAGTGCAAGTACTATTAGCGTATTGCGTATCGTATCGCAGAAAGGCAAGGAAGTGGTGAAGAGGTGGTGGTATATGTTCCAGCCTGGAGCTGGGCGGGCAGCTTTGGAAGAATGCAGCCGCCAATATAGTGGCCGGAGGTCCTTGTATGCGCTTCTAAATCCAACTGGGTCAAAGGCAGCAAGGCCTCACCAGCTGGGAGTGTGAGCGCAGTGATGTGAGCAGGTTGCATAACACTATGGGTGCATGTGATTGTAAGTCTGTTGAGGCCTGGAGCTAAGTGAAACCCGTGGGAGGAGCGGGAATCGCATATATTAAGGCATCAGGTTCCTGTCCGCGCCGGTTAATCCAAATGGCACACAGCCCCCGAAAGGACTCACCATCTGGGAGTGTGTGCGCGGATGGGTGATGCACATGCGAAAGTTCCAATCTAGCCAATCTAGCCAATCAAGCCTAAAAGACCCTAAATGCACCCCTTGCGTTCCCTCCGTCACCCTGGTCCCGCCATCCGTTCCCCTCACCTGCACGAGCAGCGTGGACGCAGCCAGCTTATCCGTACTGGTACCGGCCTGCTTGACTTGCAACAACCACTTGGCATCGCTGGGGTTGCGCCGGTGAAGCTCCTTCTCAAAGGCCGTTGCCTCAGCCTCCATGAGGGCCTCGGCGGCGGCGCGGCGGCGCTCGAACAGATCCGGATCCACCGGGGCAGTGCCCGCGGCGGATGCAGACGCAGAGGCAGCTGCAGCAGTCGCGAGCTTGGCGGCATTTTGGTACCAGATGTTGGAGTCGGACTTGCCTAGCAGGGACTTAAAGCCCCTGGCCTCGCCTGTCGGGTGGGGAAAAGTGTAGGGGTGGAGGAGTGTTGCTGCGGCGAAAAGGGTAGGTTGCAGTGCAACACAGAACATGGGTTGATACGAAGAGGGTTGATACGACGCTGTTCCTCGGGCCCTAATAACTGTGCCTGTCCACAGGGGGCCCCTCTTCATAGCGTGTGAAGCCGCAATGGGTGGGACAAGAGGCTACGCGGTCGCCCCAAACTGGTAAAGCATGCTATAACCGACACACCTGGCCTTGGTCCAACTCCAAAGTTCCAGTCACGCTTCTTAGCGTCGCCGTCTTCTTCAGAGCCGCCGCCATGTCCCACTCGATCAGGTTTACCGGCGGCTTGCCCAGCATTTTGCCGCTTCGCATTCAGGTTATTGCGTGGTCCCCGCCCTTCATCCTTAGCTATGTGGCCTGCGCCGGCTTGCTTAGTTGCTGGCGGCTGCTGCTTGTGCGTAGCCGATGCAGCCGCCTTCAGAGATGGCCGCGACGGCTTTGCATCATCGTTTAACCTCTGGCGCTTGTTGGGCTTGCTACCAGGGGCGATCAGCTGCTTGGCTTTGCTTGGTGCAAAGTCGCTGAAGGCATCGTCACCTCCACCACCCACCGCTAAGCCAAGCTGAGAAGCGAAAGCTCTAACATCAGACTTAAGAGCTTGGGCATCGACCTTCTTGCCCGGTGGCTTGATGGCCTTCTTGCCGGCGGGCGCCTCTGGGGCGCCCATATTAATCGTCGGCCGCAACCACGACTACAATGCCCTCCGAGGAGTTGTATTTCTATTAGAAAGAAAGAAAGAGAGCGTGCAGGGGAACCTCATTGCAGCCTGGGCAGGGTACGACAGGGTCCGAATCGACAGCTGAAGCCATATCCACCCTAAGGCACTCTCTGTTAATCTTTGGAAGCTGATTTGGCAAGTAATGATTGAACAGGTTTTAATTCCGTTGGTGTTCATAAGAGCGGACGTGCATCTCCTTGGCGATAGGAATTAGCAAGAACTTAGACTGCTTTCGAGACCTCACCCCTTGCCTACAAAATGTCTGAAAATCTTGGAAATGTGGTATACGAGCTGCACGAAATTCACAGTATACAATAGGTGCTTGCAGTCACCACTTGGTGTTGTTCCAGCTCATTTGCGTGCACATAAGACCACGCGGCCTTTGAGGACGAGCTCCTAATGTCTTCGCAGCAACAACCTTCACTAGACCTGGCCAATCTTCTCCCCGGACCAAGGTTCCATCCGGAGCAGCAGACCGCGGGTCCCTTGCAGCGGGCAACTTCGCCAGCCACGACCGCATCAGCAAGCGTCGATGAGCAGGCGGCTATAGAGCGTCGTGACGCCCGGCGTGAACGCCGGCGACTGGCGCAGGCCAGTCCTGGTGAAAGTCGCAATGCTCGTCACAACGCAACCGGAGACCCTGACAGCGGCCTCACAAGTCCTGCGCGCCAGCAGCTGCACCAGCACTCCAGACCACCACAAGTCAGCCCACCTGCCCCGAACCCTGCAGACGTGGATATGTCCAGGTGAGCACACATCTGCCTTTGGGGAGGAACGGATCCCAAGCGCAGCCTCTCACACGCTCACCATCATTTGTGGCACCCACCACATGCAAAGCAGCGTCTCACCGCCAGCTGGTTGCTGATACCCTTTGTCCCGCCCGCCCCAGGTACGGGCTAGCGGTGGACTCGGACGACGTGCCTTCGCCCACCTCGGCGGGCCGGCCCCGGCGCCGCATGTCCCCGGCTGGGCAGCACAGTCCCGAGGTGTCGCAAGGCGGCGCCACGCCCTCCTCGGAAGCGGGTTCGGAGCTGGGCAGCCCGGGGCGCAGGATGTGGGTCGATCTGGGTCGGCTCCGGGGGGCGTTGAAGGCGGCGGTAGGGACGAGTTGAAGATGTCGAGCGTACTTGGGGGAAGCTAGGACTGGGTCTGGGACAGGGAAGCTGGATGTTTGGATGCAAAGGACAAGGCAAGCAGATGTTATCAGGTGGAGAGGCTTGCCGCGGCTCAACAGACGAGCACGCATGCCCGTTGCAACACTGCCGGCTTACTGTTGCATCGCTACAACCGGGCTGCAGGGGTTCACGTACGGACATGCATTCCTCGTACGACAGCTTGGACTCGCTGTCGGGAGCAGCGGCGGGGTCCGGGAGAGGCGGCCGGCGAGGTAGCGGCTTCCGGCGGGCAGCCAGCGTAAGCTGCGGGGGCAGGGAAGGCAGCATGCTTGTGGGCTGGATGGGCGCTTCTTTGATCACGGGGGAGGCGACCGCGAACCGCATGCGCGCCAGTCTGCATGGCTGGTATCGTGCATGCATGTCCCCTCTATATCCCCAGCTCAATCATACTACCCATCATCAGTCCGCACACGCTATCTCCGCATGTCACATGTCAATGCAACTGTCACTATTCACAGAAACGCACATGCTCCTCCTCCTTCTCGACCTCATTCTTGCCCCCCTTCTCTACATGATCCCCCTCCCCTCCGAATACGCTCACTGCATGAGTCGGGATATGGGATTGGGATTCGTTGTTTCACTTATTTAATTTTTCTCCCCACCCGCCGGCCCCGCAGGCCAAGCCGGTCCGCTCCGCGGCCCCCCGCAGCGGCCTCGCTGACGTGCACGTTGTGGGCGAGATCGTGGGCGCCTCGGGCTTCAGCGCGCCCATGCTGTTCTGCAGGTGGCAGCTGCTGTACGAGCCGGGCAAGTCATGGAGAGTGCAGCGGGGGCTGCAGCAGGTGCGGACAGGGGAGGAAGAGGACAGGAAGGGAGGGGGGAGCCACCAGCAGTGGTGCTGCCTTCCGACCTGCTGGTCCCTTGCCCGCTGCCGCCCCGTCCACACCATTTGCTCGGCGCTGGCTCCCATCCTTGCCGCCTTCCGCTCCTCCTCCTCCCCATGCCTCCACCACCCGCATTGTGTCATGCATCTCCTCCTCCCCCTCATCTTCCGGTCTGCCTAAGGTCACGGCCAGTGTTGCATTGCGACTCAGTCCATCCTCCTTTCCTCACCCTCGCCTGCTGCCCCCACCCCACCCCCTCAGGGCGCCACGCACGCCTGCTGCAGCGGGGTGCCCGAGGAGGATCTGGTCGTGTGGGAGCATCCGCTGGACCTGCACCTGCAGACGCAGAGCCTGCAGGTGAGGGCCGGGGGCGGGGCCCTTTGCAGGCGGTGCCAGGGGGGGCGTAACACGCCTCCCATCTTGATACACACCGGCCCCACCCTCATGTCCCGCATAGACCTATCACGCGCACCCTACGCCCTCCTCCTCCGCCTGCTGCCCGCCTCCGAACCCGCACTTGGTCTTATCCGTTTCCCCTTCGTCACACTCCCCCACCCCCTGTCGGGCCATGGGATTGCGATGCTAGTGCTTCACTTCCTTCCCTCCCCCACCCCTCAGGGCTGGCCCGCGCTGCTGCTGATGGTGTACGCTCGCGACGAGGGCAGCGGCCGCGACTCCTTCCTGTCGTACGCGCTGGTGAGCCTGCCCACCACCCCGGGGCTGCACCACGTGAGCAGCCACACCTGGTTCGCGGTGGAGAGCAACCGGGCGCTGGGCAGGTCGTTCTTCGGTGAGGGAGGGGGGAGGAGGGTGAGAGGAAAACGGTAGCTATGTGTAAGGATAAGGGCGCGCGGGCAGGGAATGCTGTGGAGATCCGGATCTGGCCAACATTGCAAATGAACATGGCAGCACGAGGTTAGGGGCGAGGGAGGGAGGGTGCTGATGTGCTGTAAGAACTGCTACCCTTGGCGGTGCTGCTCCTGCTGCACCAACCGCCCCCCTCAACCCCCTACCCCTCCCCCAGCCTGGTACACGGGCCTCATTCCGCGCCTTGAGGACGAGACGTTCATCACCGACCTGCGCAAGCGCGAGGACGCGGGCCCCTTCATCTGCACCGTGGGGGCGGGCCAGGTGCACCTGAGGCTCAACATACTCACAAGGGTGGGTGCCTCGCAGGGTGCGGGTGGGGGTATGCATGGAAGTGCAGCCGCTGCGTGCCCAGCAGCTTGGGTCAGTACTGCCTCACATGCTAGAGCGGACCAACTGAGGTCCCACCCGGCCGCCCTGTCGTAGCCCCCTGGATCCCCCTGCTACTCTGCTGACCCCCCTGGCTGCTGATCCCCCCGCCCCCGCATCCCTCAGAACCTGGAGCACGTGAGCCACCAGGGCGGTGAGAGCCTGGCTGCGGCGCTGGAGCGGCTCACCACCAACATCATGCGAGCCTCCACGCAGCTAGCCAACAAGTCGGCAGCGCTGGAGGTAGGGCAGCGAGGGAGTCGGAGTGGGGCGGGGCTGTGCCGGGTGTCGTACAGCTGCATCGTGCTCCTAGCCCTTGCGCAAGTATGCATGGCCTGTGTCTTAGTATCTAGTCCATTGGAAGGAGCATTGCTGCTGCCCGCCGCTATGGTGACCCCTACCTGCATCGGCAAAACACGCCCCCATGTCGCCTGCTAGTCTTCCCCCTTCTGGGACTCGGCTGTCTCCCTGACACCTGCATGCTGTCGGTACACCCCATGCGCATGCATGCATGCAGCGCACACCCCTGGCCGGCCACCCAACCGCACGCCATGCGGTGCGTTACGGGCACGCCAAACTGGCCGCAACACTGACACTGCCCTGTGGTGTGTGTGTCGTGCGCAGGAGCACCGGCGCAGCAGCGAGGTGTTGAGTGAGGGGCAGCGGCTGGTGCGCGGCGGGCGGGAGGAGCGGCTGGCGTCGGCCCGGGCGGCGGTGGAGGCACGCAGGCGGGGAGACGGACTCAGCCCCGTGCCCTCTGAATCCGGAAGGTAGGGACCAGGCGGGGGAATAACAAGGCAAGAGAGGCCAGGACAGACTTGGCTTGTGGACTGGAAGGTACTCATTGTCTGCCAGAGAGTATTGTGAGCGTCGAGCAATGCCTGTATCTGGCCCCTGTTGTTGCGCAGAACGCCGAGTCATTCCTCCTTCCGCGGGTTTGGCGGGGAGTCCCGGAGGGTGAGCCGCAGCGACCAGGCGGCGGCGCAGGTGCGGAACAGCTGACGTGCGTGCGGTGCTGGATGCGAGATCAGACATGTCCACGTGCGGTGTTGTATCCCAATCGGAACTTGAAGAGGGTTGTGGCATGCGACCCAGTGGTACCGGTAGAGCCCGCACCTGCTGTTCCTTGCTGCCGTTCTGCCGCTGTGTGAAGTGTTATGGCCTCGTTGCCTGGTCTCGTTTACCGGCACTGCTGTTACCGGTATCCCTCTAATTATTAATACCCGATCCGACTGTGTCCCCCTGCGTGCCTGGCTCATCTGCTCCAGGACGATATGCGGTCTGAGTCCTCCTACGACCGGGGCTATGGAGGAGGCCCCACACGTAGGTTCCCTCTGAAGCGTCTAGGCTGCTGCTGTCATTGGTTGCAGCATTCCTCCTTGCATCAATCCTTGCACTAGTCTGAATCCAACGATGCACATGGGAATGCATATGTGCGAGTGTGGGATGGACTCCTGAGACATGGCGCACCCGCTCTTCCCTCCCGGAGTAACAGCCCCGCCGGGCCTCCCCTCCCTTCCCTCCCTCATTCCCCTCACAGCCCCCAGGGACCGCTACGCCGACCGAGCCGCCCGGAGAGCCCGCGACAGGGCGACGCGGGAGACCACCTCGCAGGAGGGGTGAGTGCGCCGCAGCACCCCGCTGCTGCTCTGAAGCGTGTGGCTATAGCCGTGGCGACTGTGAGGGGTGTGAGCCCGCGCCCATCCTCTGCGTAGCCTGTCTCGCTTCCTACGTACGGCATCCTTCGGTATTGTACTACTCCTGGTACTCCAGGTCCACGTCAGTGGAGTGACCTCATACCCGGTATCAAACTCCCATGCCGTTGTTGCTGTTTGTTGCGACGCAGGGGGAGCGTGGCTCCTTCGGCCAGCACCCTCAACGACCCCCCCTCGCGAGGGCCCTCCACCACAGGCGCCGCTCCAGGGGCAGCGGCGGGCCGCAGCGACGACATCGGGCCCACGGGTCGGCCGGCTCGCGGCAGTGCTGCCCGGGAACAGGGCGGCGGAGGCGGTGTAGGGCGAGCGGTCAGCGATGATGACGGCGTGGAGACGGTGGGCGAGGGCATTGACGAGGCGGCGACGGCGGCGGCGCACAGTAACCGCGCGGCGGCGCGGGCTGCGAGGCGGGAGCAGCAGAGGGTGGCGTTCTGATGGGGACGTGTAACATGGCGTGAGGGGGTTGCATGGGATCCCTCTAATTATGTGGGACGCAGGTGCCAATTGCACCTGGGATGCTTGTATATAAGGAGTTGTACAGACGGGGCTTGGCTTGCAATCAAGCATGTACTGAAATGCGTTGTAGTGCGTAGCTTGACTGCTTTTATATATCTTTCTAAGTTCCTGATAATTGTCGCCCACGCTTACCAGTGTAGGGTGGTCGGTGTGGGAGGGTGGTCGATGCACGCACCTGGGTGCCTCGCGATGTGATTGCGGTCGACCTTTACTTTAACTTGGTCACTAGGACATTTGTACAATGTACATAAAGACAGCGCCTCCCTTTTTACCGGGATGCAGTCAGCTCGGAGGCATGTCGGCGGCTTCAGTACGGAAACAGTGAGAGCACTTGCGATACACATGCTTTACACGCCGTTTCCTCGGGCGGCAGCACCACCCACCCGCATCCCTCTACAATTCCCACCTCGACATCAACCCCTGTCGTTCCTTGGAGCCGAGCCTCTCCCCTTCAAGTCCCACTCATGTGCCTTTTGCCTGGGTCCCTTTACCGACCCCCCCCTTGCCTCCCCCTGCCCAGCCCCGACAGCCCCTCCAGCACATGCGTCCTCCACAGCGCTCCCTCCAGCGCTGCCGACATGTAAGCCTCCTCGCGCGCCGCATCGCCCCCCAGCGCCCGCCACTCGTGTCCCGCAACCGACACCACCCGCCAGCCGCGAATCTCCAAGCAGCGCCGCCGGGCAAGGGTGCGACCCAGGGGCCTGCCGGGACAAGGCGGTACAGAGCAGGAACAAGCAAGGTTCAGCAGGATTTGACAATGTTCAGGAGGGTGCAAGGGTTGATAGAGCATTTTGTCGTTCATGTGAAGGAAAAGGGGTTGCAGCGACGACGGGGATGCGCGGTGTGCAGGAGTACGGGTCACACCTGTAGGGTTGGGAGCAGGTGAAGTGGGTGGGTCCGTCCACCTCCACTGCAACACGCCTGCAGGGGAGCATGGTTGGGTTGATACGGGGCGTTTTACAAAAGATCGCATCGAATCCACCCTCGGCTTAGCTCGCCATCCCCACCACGTAGCCCACGCCTTCCCTAAAGCCATGGTAGGGATGATGCAGCTACCCTCCGGCGCCCGCCGCATTGCCTGCCCCTGGCTCCGCTGATCGCACCTGCCCTCCCACACCAGCGACGTGTCGATTGAGAAGAGTCCATCCAAGGTGGTGCGCTCGCAGCGGGGTTGGCAGCCCAGCCGCCGCAGACAGGCCACCACCTCAGCCTGCCATGGTGAGGAGGGGGAGAGCGTGCTGGTACCGGTACCTTGTACACAGGTAGACAAGTGCGGTGTCCAAACACATGCATGCATGGGCGCACGCATTGGGTGTGTTCGTGTGTATCTATGGATGGAAAGAATTTTCATGGGCGGCGACCAACGTGTCACACACCAGCAGCAAGTCAAGGCACCATGCCATCGCGCCGCACCGCATCGCATGCGCCTCACCCCCATACCCAGCTGCCCCTTCCCACCTGCAAGCGGGAGGGGCTGACGGCCGCTTGCGCCACCCGCTGCCACACCAGGCGAGCAGCCTGCATCTGCGCCTGGGAGAGCACCTGCGGGGGAGCTATCACACCCCGGTACAAGTCCTGCGCAGCGAGCCAGAAGGCAAAACGGCGAGTTAATGAAGTGACGGGGTTCAAGGAGTGGTACAACGGCACAGTAGTAGGTCACAGCCAGTAGCCAATACGGGAATTGTGTGCGCGTTAAGGAAGCAAAGCAGCGGTGCCATCATGCAGCAGCCGGTGTTACCTGCAGCAGTGTTTGCGCCTGGAAGAGTTGCATGACGGCTGAGGGCCCGGAGAGCAGCAACACGGAACGGCGGAAGAGGGGGGAAAGGGGGCAAAATGCGTCAGCACAGGCGGAACGAACGGAGGACCACGTCTGGAGAGGGCTCCTCCCAGTGGTACTCCTTCAACAGCAGATTGGAGCTATAGTACCGGTACCCATATGCACGTTCCCCACAGCTGCTAAACGCGCAGGTTCTTCCCACATGCGGCAACACAGATGCATCGTCATCCGCGACAGGCAGCCCCCCTCATCCTCCGGCCGTCCTGCTTACCAGGCACCCCCAGCCGCTCCACGTCCACCCCTCGCAGCCTGCCCGCCAGCCCCTCCAGCAGCCCCTCGTCCACATGGCCCAACAGCGCGAAGCACCACAGCAGCTGCACCACACTGCGCTCAGGCAGCGGCTGAGGGGGAGACTGGGGGTGCTGCTGCTGCGGGAGGTGCTGCTGAGGGGGCTGAGGGTGCAGATGCTCGTTCAGTTGTTGCGGCAATTGCGGTTGTGGCTGCGGCAGCTCCGGGCGCACAGAGCAACCACTGGCTGAGGGGAAGGTGGAGGCGGTAGCAGCGGAGGCGGTGACGGAGGCGGTGGGAGACGAGGTGGTGGTGGTGGCGGCGGTGGAAGACGTGGGACCAGCGGCGCTGATGCGGTTGAGCACCTCCCGGGCCATGTCGGCGAAGAAGCGCGGGTGGTAGTGGTGCAGGTGCGCGAGGGCGGCGGAGCAGCTGGTGAGGTCCAGCGGGCTGCAGCGGGGCAGGTGCGGCCTGCGTGGGAGAGGCAGGGAGTGGAGGGGAAGGAAGTGGAGGAGGTAAAGAGGGTGAGTGAGCCGGTGTCACCCTCACGTGTGCAGTAGCCTGCGTACGCGGTATCACCTTGGGACGGTGTCAGGGCAGTGGGGGCAATAAGAGCGGGTCTGGGATGCATGGTGGGTTTGTATAGCTCTCAGCACGGTACGCTACAGCATGGATGCGGAGTGGGGCAAGCCGGCAAGGGCACGGAAAAAGCCACGATGCTGCCTGCCTGATGTAGTCTGCGAAGCTGTCCAGCAGTCGCGCATTGTAGTGCCGGGCTCGAGCCAGACTCCAAACCACTCGACTGGCAAGCGCGGGTCCAAAGCCATCCAGGCGATCTGCTACGGCTGCTGCAATTGCGTCGTACATTTCCTGGTGGTAGTAGTTCTTGACTGCGAGGCTGTAGCAGATGTCAGTGAGTGCCTGCATGCATGCAAGAAACAGGGCACGGAAGAACCCCTCAAACGGGATCGGACTTGGGTGCAATGACTGATTACGGTAACGTCAATCCCCAGGAAACATAGGAATGGTAAGTTTCCCGTAACGCGTCTCGTTGACTTATCTACTTGTATGCCCAATAGCCCTGTTGCCTTAGGATTAGTGGCCGGCGGCGCGGCACATGCTTTACTAGTGTTCCTATGCAAGGCGGCTTCTTCCTCAAGTCATCTCGGTTTCTGGTAAGCAAGCAATCGGTACGTCTCTGAGTTGCGTGTTCCTAGAATGGTCTCCGAATGCGCTCACTGCATGAGTCGGGATTCGGGATTGGGACTCCGTTGATGCACTTATCTAAATTTTCCCCTCCCTTCCCACCTTCGGCCCCATGCTGCTGGCGCGCCGGATCAACGCCTCTCGTACGGCAATCATCAGTGGCGGCGAGTACGACCCCACTCGCAGGTGCGCCGTCAGCAGCATCGCCAGATCTTGATCGCTGTACGACATCAGCCCTTCAGGCGCCGCCACCGCCGCCGCCACCGCCGCCTCCAGGAATGCCGTACAGCGCGGGTCTCCAGGCGGCGCGGCGGTGGATAGGGCCCATGCGAGCACGGATGTGGCGTGCGGGTCGTGCAGCGCAGCAGGCCTCGCTGCCGCCTCCGCCACGGTTGCGGTTGCGGTCGTGGTCGCGGGCACCTCCGCTTTAAACACGCGTGTGGCCCGGACGCGGATGGCAGAAAGCAGCTGCCTCACTGCAAGATGCGGCAGGGGCTGCGGGTCTTGCTGCGCCTGGTCCTGCTGCTCGCGCTGGGGCTGCTGTACGCGCGGAACTCGCCCATGTTCCTGCCTCCGCTGCTGCCGCTTCTCAAGGGGGTGCTGCCGCTGTTGCTGCTGCGGGCGCTGGTTGTGGCCCCCATGCCGCTGTTGCTGCATCTCCTGCGGTTGCGGCAGGTGCTGCATGGGACGAGGGCAGCCGGGGCGGCGGAGCTCCTGCTGCGGCTGCCTGCTCCCCGAGGGGAGGTGCTGACGCGCCGTCACGAGTGCCCAGGCGGTCTTGGACAACTGCGGCAGGCTCATGCGGTCAACGCAGCCCAGCGCCAGGCCGGCAAGCTTGCCGTACAACCTGCCGTACAAGTCGTTGTTTTCTGTGTTGTCGTACATGTCGTGAGTCATGTCCCAATAGTCATGTTGAAACTGGTGTTGCTGCTCCTGTTTGTGGCTATGGTCCTCCTCGTTAGCGTCAAGCGAATCCAACGAGAGAGAAAAGTCCAGATCTTCATGCTCGTCTTGGATCTTGTCTTGTCGCACATCTTGATGCAGCGAAGTGGCGCAGTTGTAGAAGCGCAGCGTGGCAAAGCTCCAGCACAAGTTGGTGATTCCCACCGGCTCGAACCTAGCAACGACCAGGAAGGGGACCCAAGCGGGCGCGGGAGCAAGCCGGTGCGAGTGTGGGCAGGCGCTGGCAGTAGTAGCGGGAGTTGCGTGGCACAGGAACAACCATGGGCAGGTTGGGCACCGGTAGCACAGCAAACGCGCGTGTTGTGTCCCCAACCACAGCAAACACCCCACCTCCCTGAACCCGCCTCCCCGCACCCCGCCTCCCCGCGCCCCGCCTCCCCGCACCCCGCCTCCCCGCACCCCGCCTCCCCGCACCTGCTGCGCCGGCCCTCCGCAATGCACTCTGCGGCCGCCCGCAGCAGCGCCGCATGCCGGCAGTCCACCGTCGCGAACGCCCACAGCGTGTTGCACAGCGCCTGTTGCGAGGGACAGGAGCATGCCGGGGTTGGTCCGGACTCGGCAGGTGCGAGGGCTAAGTGGCAGGAGCTGGCTTGGCTACTGCTTGAAGTGAGCAGTGCCGGAGGCCATGGAGTGGGTCGTTTCTAGAGTGAGAGAGTAGGGGAGAGGAAAGCTGGATTCTGTCCTCGTGCGGTTAGTAAGGAGGAACTGCGCACAGCGCATGCGGTGGTAGCCCCCCGTAAGAGCGCCTCGTCAGGGCTTGACTGTCAGTTCCGCATCACAAGCCGCCAGCCTCCCCACACCCCACACGTACGCACCTGCGGAGGCATCTCCGATCGCTCAACAGCCGCCGCCGCTGTGTCCCCCAGCTCCTCCCAGAACCGCCCCTGCAGCCGCCGCTTCCCCAGCAGACGCACGGAACGCGGCCTAGCTGGCCCGCCGCCTCCGCCTCCATCGCTACCACCATTGCCGTACTGTGTCGACCCCGTCCCCGTCTCCGTCTTTGTGTCCAGCGGCGGCACGCGGTCGACGGGAGGCGTCTGCAAGCCCTTGCTACCAGTGCTCTGCGCCTCGCCCTGCGTGCCACGACCCGATTCTGGGCCTACTCCTAGCTTGGCCAGCGCCCAGGCTAGCTTGGAGAGGTCCTTAGCCGGGATGGAGGCAAGGCGTGTGGCGCAGCGGCGGCGCTGGGAGGTGGCCTCTGCGGTTGGTGCGGTGGCCTCTGCTGCCGCCGCTGCGGCTTTAGCGTCGAAGGCGGGCTCCAGGAGCTCCTGTTGTACGGCACTCAAAAAACCCAAAACAGCGACGTCTTTGCCAGCGACGTCGCTGAACTGCGCGATAGCCCAGCAGCAATGTGCGAGGTCAGACGGGGAAAGGGCAGCTACGTGGGGGATGAGGGCGGTCGCCAGGGTTTGCAGGGAGGTAAGAGCGTCATGAGGCCATTGGGATGAAGGCGCGCCCTTACAACGCCAGCCCAGGGCTCCCAGGGCGTCAACAAGTTGGAGGGGTTGGGCTGGCGAGTCGCTGTTGGGCTGCTGCAGCGGATTGTCTGGCGTTTGGGGACGTGGAGCCCGTCGGATTGAAGATGCCCTGTGTTGCACGGCTGCCAGGACGACGTTTCGTACAGGTGATTGTGGAGCTAAAGAAGCGTGTGACACGCTGGTGTGCGCAAGAGGGATAGCAGCATTGCGTCGGCTGGATAACAGCCTCAAGCGAGTTGCCTCGCTTGCATGTTGCAAGTTTAACCATGTGGTGGAGTCTGCCGCCAATAAAGTGACCGGGGCCCTACACAGCATTGTTGCAAAGCTATAAAAGAGCTTGAATTGGCAGGTGGCGAGTGTTTCTACCACGAGGGTGTACGGCACTATGCGGGCAGGGCCTGGTAACAAACATTGATGGCCCTAACGACTTGCCTACATTCAACATTAATTCATTTAACAGCTTCCAAGAGCTGATCAGAGATAGCGACTCTTAGTGCCCTCTGCCGGAACTTCTCGGGCAGTCCCTGCAATCTTTAACATTTAGCTTTACTGTTTGTACGCTGTTATACGGAAGTGCCCTAGCGTGGCATCCGGGCGGAAAGGCTGTGTCTTAGTCGCTCTCTTGTGAATCAGAGCCGTTCGCGGGATACTCTACTTGCCTTCAGCCATGTTCCGGGCACGCGCATCGGGCTTTTTCGTTGGATTTGGTGTGGCGGCAACTCTTGCGGCGTATCAGCTTCGGCAAGATATCCTGAAGTCGCATGAGGTGCTGGCACAGCAGGTAAGGACCAAGGAGCTCAGCCAATGCTGCAATCTCGCTGGTAGCAGGATGCCATCTCATTCACTGTGAGAAGTTATTGGCCTGCATGCCTCTTCTCCCACCGCTCCCTCTTCTCCCCTTGCATCCCTGCCTTCATCTTCCAACTTTGCACCCTCCCGATAACTGTCCACGCCCGGTTCCAGAGCGACGAGTACCGCAAGGGGCTCGAGAAGCGCGTTGTGAGCCTAGAGGCTGCCGTGGCTCAGCTGAAGGCGGCACCCGCAGCTGCCCCTGCCCCCGTAGCCCCCGCGCCAGTGGTCGTGGAGGAGCCAGCAGCTCAGGAGTGATGGGTGCTCCCCTAGTCGCCCCGGAGGGCGCCATGAGTAGGGTACTGCGGAGACGAGCAGCGGCTTGCTGGAATAGCGGCTGCTGCAGCTATTTCAGTACATGCAGCGGGCGGGGTCGTGGTGGAGTGCTCACAGGTGCCCTCCTTGGTTTGGTGGAGGAGGCCGGGCAGCCGTCCTATTATAAGTTGTTGCTCGGGCTTTGAGGGGCCATTCCTGGTGAACCGTGGAGCCGCGACAAGAGGTGTAGGAGCAGGATGAAAACCCGATGGATGCTGGGGTGTCGTGCGGGATTTGGTTGGCAACGAGTGGCCCAGATCATGCCTGCAGTCACAGGATGGTTTGGGACCTGCAACTTGTTGCAGGCGCCGTACACGGGCTTTAAGGAGTGGTGGAGCCTCGTGACGCATGCACACGTTTCGGAGGCTTCTTGTGTGCAGCATGCTAGTGCAGACAGCACTTGGCGTGTCGTTCGTACCACCGTTCGTACGTACGTGACACTCACAGACATCTCTTGCTGTCCGTACTTGGGTTGTAACACGGGCTGGAAGGAAAGATTTTAAGGAGGGGACTGCGTGCTTGGGGCATGCATACTTGCCAGCAGGATATAAAAGCATTCCGGCATGCAAAAGCCGCAGTCCCAGCCTTCTTGGGTTATGCCGAACCCATAACCCAAGACTTGGAACCGTAGTCACCCGTGCAAAAGGCGCCGACCCTTCGTGACCCTGAAATACACGTTGTTAAGCTTCCTTCCGCCTTCCTGCAATATCCCTGCCACAGTTCTCGCTGAAGTGCAGTCATACGGTAGTTCGCAACGCAAATACAAATACGTCCAGGGCTGTAAATGGGTATGAATGCAAACATAGTAAGCCAACACCGCTCGCACTCACACAACAATGCCGCAGTTCCCGTCGTGATGCCGCTGCCTACCGTGGAAAGCAAACCACCCTCTGACACCAGCTGGGACACATTACGGTATTCAATGCTTGGTAATCCCACTGTCAAGCATCTGCTACTGCATGTCCTAACCCATGCCCAGACCTCCGTACCCGCTTGTACTCACAACGTTTGGCCGCCAGTGCGTTTTCCAAGTCAAACACTATGGCGAGTCTTGTCACGCGGCCCACTCGGCTTAATACACACAACGCTGCCATGCTATGTCAATGCACATGTCATGCACGCTGCACCCCAATGCTAATCTCACACCACTCTCGCATGCACTTTGCACAAATGCCAAAAAAGAGTCGCTCACAGTGCGTCAGGAAACGTCGTACCCCATCTAACGGTGGTTTACCGGTACCTAACCACCACGATCACACAGAGGTCCCAACCGCCCCGCCATGCAGGTGCGTGAAGGCTAGCTCATGCCCCTGGTGACCCATGGGTCCCTCAGCCCCTTTATTGCCGCTGCTCCCGCTTCCCGATACCGTCAGTTCTCGCCACCGCCACGCCCACACAGCCACTCCCAACGCAATCAACAGCACCGTTCCCACAAACGTCACAACCACAGATACGGCAATCTTCCACGATTCCGTACGAGCATTACGAGATCCAGATCCTGAGCTCTGTAGTCCTTCCTGCTGTCCATCCGATGAAAGCTGCCGTACTTGCTGCAGCGCTGTAGCCAACTGGCAAGCCGTTACATCCGTGTTGCCGCATGCCGTACACCATTGTGTGGTGTTCAGGGCCCGTACAGAAACATAAGACAGAAACTCCTGCAGTCCGCAGGCGCCTGCGCCCACCGCTGCAGTCGCGGCGTCTGAGGCGCAGGGCAGGGGAATGGTGGTGTAGGCTGCGGAGGGGCCGTCCTGCGCCACTAGCCGCACGTAGAAAGCAGGCGAAGTTGAGGATGAGGAGGAAGATGAGGAAGGGCGGACGGCATGCAGTTCAAAGGCCATGACAGCTGCCAGTTTGGGGATGCTGCCGAACCAGGTGAAGCTGGCGGCGGGCGCCCAGGTGTCGAGCTGCAGCGCCGCCAGCACCCCCAGCTGCGTGTTGTAGTGGCCCGACAGCGACAGCAGCTTGTAGTACACCTGCGCGCACGCCGCGGCAAGCACAAGACGCAGACCCGGCGAGTTAGGCCTTTAGGAATACAAGCAGCGGTGCTTCTCACGAATCACAAAGCATGTTGCAGCTACTGGTATGGCTGCTGCGATTGCACCCAGGAAACACAGTCATGGTAGGAAACACACCGCCAGTGCTACCATGGCCCCTGCCGTTCCAACCCACGGCGCCGAAGGTTACACCGCCCATCGCTCCTGCCACCCCAACCGCGCGCCACCCCAACACCGCGTCCAACGCACGCCGCCCCTCACCCGGTTCCTCTCAGCCTCCCCACCCCAGCCCCCTCTACATGCCCCCACCCTACCGGGGACCCCGCCGCGGCTGCCGCCGCCGCCGCCTGCAGGTAGGCGGCTAGGTCCGCCAGCGGCACCCCGCCCAGCAGGTTGGAGGTGAGGTTGGAGCGCATCTTGGCGGTCTCCAGCCAGTAGGCCAGCTGCTGGATCTGTAGGGGGGCGAGGTCAGGGGCGGGCGAAGGGCCCAGGGGGGTCAGGGGGTAAGGAAGGGGAACTACCAGTATCCATGTGACATGTAGGCTCCATCATGTGTGTTGCATGGTAGAGCGGGGGGAGCGGCGGCGAGGTAGGTCACCGGGGAAAGGTTAGGGACCGCAGGGAGGTGGAGAAGGGACACGTGACAAGCTGCCAGGGGGCATGTGTGTGCGTACGGCATACACACACGTACCTTGGCAAACATGGTGTCGTTGAAGGTGGGTGTGGGGCTGCCCACGCCGTACGTGCGGTACACGTTGATCGCGTCGTACACATTCCACCTGCCGTACACCACACCAGGCAGGCAGACCGGCATGTTGGCGTCTTCCACCTTGATAATGTCCAGGTCAACAACCACACACATGCTTGAACACGGGTCGCCACAAACGGGAGCGCAGTTAACCCGCCGTCGATCGCACGCACCCACACACGCAGTCCTGACCCAGAAGCCATGAACGTACCCTTTTTCCACCTTTTCCACCTGGTTGGCCGTCAATGTCCCGTGATGTTTACCTACACCACCAACCGCCCTAGCCGCGCACCCTAACGCAGCCCCCAGCCTACCAGTTAGCCAGCTGCGTGTCCACATCCGGCATCGCCGCAGCCACCTGCTGCCGCAGATCGAACGACTCGGCGGACTTGGACGCGAACTCGGCGCCCCGAAACCAGGTGTCCAGGGCCGACTGGTAGGCGTTACACTTGGTGTAGGCGCGGATGAGCAGGTCCTCCGAGTCGGACTGGGTGTAGATCGGGACCATCTGGAGGGCAAGGGGGTTGCAGGGGTAAGGTACGTGTATGCGGATGCATCGCTGGTGGTGGTGTTGCGTGGAAGGGAGCTTGGAGCACTTGCTGCATGTCGATCATCAGCTGTAGCAGCCGCACGCACGGGCGAGGACCCATCACGGCGGCTCCAGCAGCCCTAGTTGCCCCGGCGCCCGTTATCCCCCCCATGAGAATTTCAGTTTCTTCTTCTGCACCGTACGGCACTCCCGCTCCGCACCTGCGCCCCGGTGGGCAGGTAGGTGCTGGTGGAGGCGGCGGCGGCGGGGTCAGCCGGGAAGATCCCGTTGAAGAAGCACAAGCCGGACAGGATGGCTCGGTCCATGGCACTGCTGCGCAGGTAGACGTTCCAGTTGCCTGTTTAGGAGAGGCGAACGGCATGCGCACGGAGAGGGAAAGGAATAGGTATTCGCTTTGGGGAAGAATACAGGTAGGGTGGAGCTAGTATTGTGAATAAAAGCAGTGCAGCGGATAGTGCTTACCGAACGTGGCCCCTGATTGGCCGTACACGCCGTACATCGCGTTGCCGCTGGCGTCGGTCGCACCAGCCAGACATGTAGACGTTGCGGCACAGGTGGTGGTGTTAAGGTATCGATTACGGAAAGCCACGCCTGCAGGGTAAAACACGGTTAAGGCACGACGCATGCACGCTCGATGCTATAGCCGTCCCTTCAATTTAGGACAGTAAGGGCGTGGAAGGCAGGCAGGGAGAATTTCCCACCTGCATTGTACGTTTGACGCTGTCCTTGCGGCAAAAGAGTAGGCCCTCCGGCCAAGTTGCTTTCCTGGAGGAGGATGCCTTTCGCAAGCACGTTTCGAGCACCATGGCGCTGCAGCGAATAGACGGCGACCACATCCGAAGATGCAAGGGACCAAAGGCTTGCAAGTCCTAAGAGAATTACCAGCTGGGGCGTCATCTTGGTTAGAACGGCACAACGGCTCCCGAGGGTTATAATGCTAAGGTAAATTCTCAAATTGGCAATGGGCTGGGCGGAGATCGAACGTAATGTGCAGCGATATCTCAGTAATGCGAAAGCAACCACCCCGCCAAGCGGTCGCGACCCTTTTGGACGAGCAGGATTGGACGAGCATGACCTCTGCGACAACTTTGGGGCCACACGCCCACCTTGTTATCAGTTTCGTATGCGATATTAAGACATATCGACGTCGCAATGATCCTGATGCTCAAATTGAATCGTGTTCGTGGCATGACACTGCTAGTGTTCGTTACGCTGCAAAACAAATTACGGATGGACTACAGAAGTCTACGAAAGTCGACGACGGTAGGCTCGCCACGGTGTGAGTTTTCATTCAATGGTCGCTTTTGCTTTCAGGCATCCCAGGGCTTCCTCCTTAGTCATACGGTGTTCAGGAAGCCAAGTGTTACAATGTCACGGCGTGGAATACGGATAACACTGCAAACTAAGAACAGCGGGCTAAATATAAACACCGCGGAAAGGCAAGGCGTATCAGCCTGCATACGTGACTTGTGCCGATGGGTCTTCTTACTGGTACACAACCCATGACCAGAACCCAAGCTGAAGAAGTCTCCAAGACACCACACAAGCGAAAACAGATGTACGTATGCAACCGGCAGCAGTACAAAGCATCTACCGTCCTAGCAGCGGCCCTCCACCACATTCGTTTGTCCAAATACCACATTACATTCATTCCTCGTAAGCCTATGTAGCGTCTCACTGTCTCACCGCCTAGCACCGACATCAGCAACCATACTCCCTTGCCTCCCGTCAACTTAAAGCCCTAATTGTGCTATGTCCTAACTGCCAGGAACGCGACTTTGCAAGCATCTGATCACATGGTAAGTTCCTAAATATACAATACGTAAACGGGAGGGAGTCAAAAGAGACGAGCGTGGTGCGGCACACCGAGGACGCGCACAACAAACAGCGTCCCGGCTACCTTGGTCAACCAAGCCTGTCTCACCCCAACAGCAGCCTCTTCTCAAAAAACATCAAACCTTTACCTAACAGCCTCATCATCCGGAGCCCGACAGCGCAACAAAGCCACAGCTGTTGTGCGATCGCCCATTGTAGCGAACCCACACTAACCTTCGTCCCATAGCACGTCCAGCGCAAGTACCGCAGCATCTGCAGGAGCGCCCCACCCCACGCCACACCTCCAGGCGCCCAGTTCCCATGCAGCTCTCGCAGCCGTTTGGAAACCCCATCCCCACACCCCAGACCACCCCAAAAAACGCACAGCCCATTCCCCCACGTATCCACACCCAACCACACCCCAAACCACCGCAGCACTACCGCCGGTTGCGAGTGCCGTGGCCGGGCGTTTTCCCGCTGAAGAGGTGCTTGGGCATCTTGGTCTGGATGACTCGGTCGGACTCGCCCACCTTGGCCATCTTGTTCATGCGCCACTGCGCGCGGTCCGCCATCTTGATACCCTTGTTGCGCTGCGCAACGTCCTTGAGGCCGCTGCCGGCGCGCGGCTCGGCCAGGGAGTGGCTGCGGCCGCGGGACATGGACCTGGGGGTTGGGGGGAGATGGGAGCGGGTTGAGGGAGAGTTGGCGGGTGAGAGGGGCCGGATAACGGGACACGGCATGCATGTAGCGCTTGTCCATGCATTGGGACGTGAGTGGTCCTGGGTCGGTAGTGTGCAGTCGATTTCCCCGCCTCCTTGCCCTCCTCACCCCCACATCCTCCCCAGACACACTCCTTCCCCCCCACCTGGACTTGGAGCTGTGCACGCGCTTCTTCTTCTCGCCCCCCTCCATGTCCACATCCTCGTCCGCTCCGCTCGGCGCCTTGCTGGCACTGCGCTCGCGCTTGCGGCCGCGGCTCTGGCTGCGTGCGCGCTCCGCCGCCTTGCTGGCGTCGATGCCCAGCGCGCCCAGGCTGCGCTGCATGGCGTCCGAGGTGCGGCCGCGCGCGTTGGCCAGCTTGGCGGGCATGACCGCCTGGTTGCGGTGCGAGTTCTTCTTGGAGCGGTGCTCGCTGATGAGGACCTGATGGGGGGGAGGGGAGGGGGGCGGGAGGGAGGTTAGGGAGGAGGAGGACGCAGTACCGGCCTTAGGCGCGGGTATTCTCAAAAACGCGGGGGATTCTTAACAGGGGCTATAAACGAAGCGAAAGGAAGGGCGTGGCGTCAAGCAGTGAGGAACGCAGGCGCATGCAAACCGCCACCTTACCTTCTTCCTGGCTCGGATGGCCTTCAGGTCCGCCGCCTGCTCCTCCGTCAGTCCCTCCTCGTCCTCGTCCTCCATGTCCTCCCCGCCGCCCGCCGCCTCCGCCGCCGCCTCCAGCTCCGCCTCCTCGCGCTCCAGCTCCGCCAGCTTGGCCTCAATGTCGGGGTCCACGAAGTCCAGCACGTTGTGGCCGTCCATGATCTCCGGCATGATGTCGTACTTCCACTCGGGGTTGGCAAGCTGGTACACCTTGCGCAGGTCGGCGGAGTAGACGCCTGGAGGGGTGGTGGAGGTGGCAGGAGTGAAGGGTCATTATGCCGCGTAATTGATGCAGGGTGCATGTAACGCAGCTAAGACAGAGCTAGAACACGGACCCAACAACATGCCCCCTCTCCCAATCCCCCCGCCCCACCCACCCGCTCCTCCGTTCTCCTCCTGCAGGTCGCGCTCCGTCTTCTTCACCTCGCCGCCAGCCCGCCGAGCGCGCGCCTCCGCCACCCCCGCCGGGATGACGGGCGGCCGGCTGCCCGCAGCCACCCCCTGGCGCGGCTTGGGCTGAGCCACGTGGATCTTGTTTAGGACATCCGAGATGCGCTTGCCCGCCACCTTCATCTCCACGCGGAAGTTGAGCAGCCGGTCACAAGCGGCCTGCAGGAGAGGAGGCGGGAGAGGGGGGAGAGAGCGGAGGAGAGTTGAGAACGATGGCGTGCAGAGTGCTGGGATAAAAGACGGTGATGTACATGCGTATAAAAGGGCTCGGAGGCGCGTCTATGCTGCCGGCACCCCCCACCCTCCTTGTGGCCATGTAACTAGTGACAGTCCCCTCCCTCCCTTCCCCCTTCACTCCCCCCACCTGCTTGACCTCCATGACCCCCTCGTCGCTCAGAGTGGACATGGCCAGCAGCACCTCCTCGTCGCCCGCGTCACCCGCCACCGCAGCGGCACCTGGGGGCAGCCGGAGGGGGGGCGCCAGGGCAGGAAGACGGTTGCGGCACCAGCGTGCAGGAGTGCGGCCGGGCGCTGACTGACCAGCAGCTCTCCTCGTCAGCAATTCCTCCAACCCCCTGTATAAATTGCGCTTTCCCATCATACGGTTCACCCACCTCGCCACATGCTGCTCAGCACTCCCCACCCCCTACCTCCCCTCCCTCTCCCTCCCCCCCCGAATGCGCTCACTGCATGAGTCGGGATATGGGATTGGGACTCGCTGTTTCACTTATTTAATCCCTCCCCCGCCCCACCTCCGTTGCTGATCCGCTTGGCCTCCTCCACCATGCCGTCCAGCAGCTGCTTGTCCTCCGCGGACAGGTCCTGCAGGGCAGAGCAGGGAGGAGCAATGTGAGGGGGATGCTTGCAGAGGAGCAGAAAGGAGTTGTTTCTAGCAGTCAATCTTAGCCGGCCCTCAGGAGACACATTCCTCCCACTTCCTTCCATGCCCCTACCTCACCCCTTGCACCCCACCCCTCTTCAACTGCTTCACTTGTCCTTCCTCCCTATCCTCCCCCTCCTCCCTCCACGCCCCTACCTCCATCTTCCGCACATCAATCTTGTTGGCCACAATGAGCACCGGCTTGTTGGCGAACAGCGGCTTGATGGAGTGGAAGAGCGCCGCCTGCTGCGCCATGCTGTAGCCGCACCGCTCGCTCACGTCCACCAGGTACAGCACGGCGGCGCGCAGGTGCGCCAGTGCGGTGATGGACTGCATCTCGATGGTGTTGCGCTCCTCCAGCGGGCGGTCCAGGATGCCGGGCGTGTCGATCACCTGCCAGCGGAGGTACTTGTAGTCGGTGTGACCCACGTAGCTGAGTAGAGAGGGGAGAGGGAAGGAGGGAGGGTTGAGGGGGAAAGGGGATGGGGGAGAGAGGAGAAGGGTTGGCTCGCCGCGAGGGCAACGTGGAGACGGAGGGGCTGTCAAAGGGTTGGCACGATGGCGGTGTAAAGCAGCTGGGCTGCTGTCACAGTTCGTAAGCATGCATGCAGTAACTAGCGGCGACTGCAGCAGCTGCCTGCCTGCTACCTCTCACAGTGGGCCCCCACCCGCCCGCTACCGCTACTCACAGCGACTTGGTTGTGAAGGCGTAGGGCTGCACCTCCACCTCGGCGCGCGTGAGCTTGTTCATCATGCTGCTCTTGCCCACGTTGGGGTAACCGCACAGCAGCAGCGTGCGCGTGTTGGGGTCGATGGCGGGCAGGCGGCTCATGTGCTGCCGCACCTGCTCCAGGTAGGCCAGCGAGGGGCCCTGGCGCTTCATGAGGGTGCACATGCGGCCCTGGGGGAGGGGGCAGAGGAGGGGAGGAGAGGAAAGGGGAGGGGGGATGAGAAAAGGATGGAGTTGGCACAGGCAAGGGAAAGGGGTGAGAGAGGAGGCAAGGGAGGAAGGAGGAGGAGGGAGAGGGCAGCACCACCCAACCAGCCACCCCACCTACCAGTGCTGCGCGCTTCAGCTCCTTGCAGCGGTACAGCGAGTCGCCGTACTTGAGCAGGCGGACGTAGTCTGGGAGTAGGGAGGTAAAGAGGGCGGGGTAGCAGCGGGGTAAGGCGTATGGGCGGGGGGGCGGAGGGGAAAAGGCTGCGTACGGGGCCGCGGGTAACGAAGTTCAGCAGCCAACTTGCCGGCGAGGAGGTTTGGCGCTGCTGCCAAACTGCCTCTGAAGCAGTGCAACGTCGGACGAGACAACCAGTGCAGTGCCGTTCCGAAAAGCAGCGAACATCTAGGTTCTTCCCGCTCCGTAAGTATTAGTAGTAAACTAATCCCCTATGTTGGAGCTCCCAGCGGCCCTAGCCGCAGCATGAACAAATGACGGTAGCCGCCAAGAACCCCAGCGCTCACAAACGCCGTCAAACGGCCATCTGAACCTCACCTTGAGCAACGCGGTCCAGCAGGTTGCGGGCCGTGTTCAGCTGGCCCAACGCCAGCTTGTAATGGTCCTTGTCATACAGCACGTTCAGCAAGTCCGCGTAAAATGGGTGGATGTCTTCCACCTTTGGGAACTCGTCCAGAATTTGGGACAACTTCTCGTTCCAGTTCTGCTGCGTAAACTTGACCTTGCGCATGTAGAACTGGCGGATGCGCTGGATAGCCCAGCCATTGTGCACAACCGTCGGTGTCCCTCGCTGAGTCTTAGACAAGACAATGTCAATGAAGTCCTTAGCTCCCGGCACCACGCCAATCGCTTTAAGGTTGTAGGTCGGCATTTTTACGTGCCTCCCCCTTTTTAACTACAATTAGCAAAGAGTAAAGCAATTCTATAAGCAAAGGTTTGCGTCCTATTGAATATTGATACTTGTCTTGACGGCTGCGGTATAGCGTTGCTTAACCTAAAGACTTGGCGGCGGCGGCGGCGCTCTATTTGAGTTATAGACCCTAAGAACTTCACCACAAGCCAACACAACTTATGAAGTAGCAAAACAGAGCATTACGTGCTTCGCGGCGGCATCGGATTTGCCGTACATAGGGACGACTCCTCAACTTCGCGCCTGTCAAAGCTAACGATCCTGTGTGGTTGATGCAGGCGAGCGTATGGACTATAGCATACGCAACCCATATCGTGTTAAGTACATGGTGTTGTTTATCCTTGCTTGTACAGCGCAACAGTCCAGGACTGGCGAGCGACTGGCAGGGGGTCAAGGAGGATACCATGTCAAGGCGAAAAGTTGACCGACTTGCCACTCATCTGTTCTGCGTATGCCTCCTACTTCACAACCTAACACGAGCCCGCAGTGAGCTGAAGGTTCAATCGCAGCTGCTGGCTAGTTATCAGCTGGATCAAACCCATCAAGCCCGTACCCACACCGGAAGCGGCAATCGCGAGCCATGGAAGCACCATCACGCACGTGGGAAGATCCTCCTCTTGCGAGTAAGCGTTTAGTATGAGCCCCATGGCCCTGCACTGCAGAAAGGTGGCGGGCCCATGGGTCACGAAACCTGCTGTCATCCTTCAAACCTCGGCGACGGTTCGTGAACGCATGTTGATTGCCCTGCACTTCCTGGCATGCAACAACTGGCAGGACGAGTTGCGGGTTCCTCTATAGGTCATCGCCATTTCTGTGATTCATGTACTTATTCCATACCTGTCATGTACGCTCGTGCAATGTCGCTAAGGTTTCCAGCAAGGTCATAAACCAGCTGCTGCTGACTCGCAACACCCCCAGTGCAACCACTGCGGCTGACCTCCCCCCGCCCAACCGCCCCTCCGTGCACCTCAGGGACCGCAAGAGGTGGCGCTAGTGCGGCGCCTGTGCGAGGGCCAACTGCCAGGGCCCTCTGCACCACCCGCACCACCCGCACCACCCGCACCACCCGCACCACCCGCACCACCCGCACCACCCGCACCACCCGCACCACCCGCACCACCCGCACCACCCGCACCACCCGCACCACCCGCACCACCCGCACCACCCGCACCACCCGCACCACCCTCAGTGTCACGCACGCACCCTGCAGCGGCGGCGGACAGCAGAGCAGCGGCAGCAGCACACGAGGGCCTACCCTGCTCGCACAAGCAGCTCCCAGCGGAACACCAACCTGCGCCCGACAGAAGTCCGGGAGCTGCCAACTTGTTGGAGGAGACAGCCAGCAACACCGGGCTGCAGTCGGAGCTGCACCCTCCCAGCAGAAGACCACCGCCGCTGCTGTCGTCCCTGCTGCGGCTGGTCTTGCAGCTGGCGGCGCCCTCGATGCTGCTGCCGCTGCCCAGCAGACCGCCCTTCCTGCCGAGTCCGCCGCAGCCGCCAGAGGTCCTTGAGACAAGTGGTCCTGCGGGGACTGCTGCGGGGGCTGTTAGCGGAAGTGACAGCGGCAGGAAGTCGCGCTGTATGCGGGCCCTGCGGGGCAAATGCCGGCACTTCTACAGCACATTGCTGCACGGTGAGCCCACTGTGAGCCGCTACAATGGCTGACACGCTATCAGCTTACCTGGCCCGGCCCGTTACCTGACCAAATAAGCAGTCATGTTACGCTGGTCTGCCTTGACGTTCCGCAAGATCAACTTCCCCCGGGCTGGCCTGCCTGCCTCCGCCTTATATACGCTGCCTGCCCCCTGCAGGCGTGTCCGGGCGGTTCAGTCGGGCTGACGTGGCCTGCCTGTCTGCGCTGCTGGGTGAGGGGCTGCTGGGGGTGGAGGCCAACGGCCAGGTGAGGGGGAACTGCATGCGGGGAGGCTCCGCTGCTCCACGGCCCGGCTCTTCTACCGTAGCCGTACTAGGAGCTCCACTCCCGCCACCTCCTGCTGATGGGGCTGCCGTACATCGCGCGCATACCCGCACATTCCCTTGCCCAGCCAAACTGCGGCTCACCTTTACCTTTACCATGTCGACTGGTCCACAAACCGGCACATACCGCCATCCCTCCTGTGCTGTGTGTCCCTGCGGGCGGGCAGGTGGTAAAGGCTGAGGGACCCGCACCGAGCAGCAGCCTGAGCTGGCTGGAGGCAGCGGTGACCTTTGGAGTGGCGGAAGGGGCGGCGAGGGGCGGCTCGGCCGGCAGCAAAGTTGGCTGCGGCAACCGAGGCGGCGCTTGTAACGGTGATGGACTTGGTGGCATGGGGGCGACCGGCAACTACAGTGCTAATGTGGGCAGTCGAGGTGTCCCCCGTCCTGACGGCGGACGGCAGGGCGGCCGTCAGTACGGCAGCAGCGGCAGCAGTGACGGTCGCAGCAGTGGCCGCGGTGGAGGCGGCGCCACCAGCAGCAGCGGCGGCGGTAAGGGAGGTGGAAACGACAGAAGAAACACCAACCAGCGTCAGGTGAGATTGGTACACAAGTGCATCCCTCTGTTCAACAGTGCGCGCTCATCTTCATGTTATTCCCGTTTCCAATCTCCCGGACCTGCCCATGCCCCGACAGGATGTGTCGCTGGTGGCGGGGGGAGCCCCAGCGCCTGCCGTGTTGGCATCACCGCCAGCTGCCGGGGATGTCGGTTTCAAGGGGCTCGGGGGCTCAGAGGGAGGCGCCACGGGGGCTGCCGCGGTGGATGATGCGGGCGAGCGCCGATACCGAGTGGACGGTACGATGTTTTGTGCGCAGCGACGCAGCAGTTACGACACATATCATACCGTTGATAGGGACCGTCGTTTCGGTAGCTCTTTGACCTTCGTTAAATGACGTTAAAAGCACCCGCCAACTCATATCCGATCCTTTCGTCCACGGTCCACTCCCAACCCAAAGCAACAGGACCTTGAGGCCTCCTGACCTCATACGACCCATGGGTCCGCCCTCGCTGCCACCAGGTTCACCCGAATCGGTGCCCCAGGCGCGACAGGCCTGGCTGCGGGCCAGTGTGGGGCGGGCGGCGGAGGAGCGGCTGGCGGCCGCGGCTGCCCGGGCGCTAGCGGAGAGCTTCGTGACGGCCCTAGAGGGGGAACAGCTCGTGACGACGACAACGGCTGCAACCACGTCGTCGGGAGGCGCATCAGGGGCAGCGTACGGCATTGGGGGCACGGTGTACGGCAATCTCACCTCGGTGGAGATGATGGCTCAGAGTGCTGCGCTCCATCCGGGTGGGATGGGGTGCCGTAGTTGATTAGCGATCGTATCTAGCGGGGGTCGTGCTGTTTACTGCGAAACCCTCGTGAACTGATGCTGACGGCACTGCCGCTCCCTGCCTCTTTTTCAACCCCCCTGGTTCACTCCATCCTGGCATGACGGCCGCAATACCGCATTACGGCAACCCTGCCCTTTTGCATCTGGGCCCTGCCTCCCTCATTCCGCGCGCAAACCCTTTTCTTCCCCGATCTCCCTTGTGCTCCCCCCATGCGCCCCCCGCCTGCTCGCGCCCATGTGTCCGACCATGACCCAAGACCCCGCCAGTGTGGACGTGAGCGAGCACGCCTCCGCCGCCGGGTCCGCCGTGTACCTGCCGGGTGTGAAGCAGGACCCGGTGGACCGCGCGCTGTGGAACCTGGACCGCATCGACCAGCGGGAGCCGCCGCTGGACGGAGTGTACCGCTTCGGGTCGGCCAGCCAGCCGGGAACCGGTGCGGCTCGCAGCAGTGGCTTGTGGGGATGGGGGGGGTAGTGTGAGAGAAGGAGAGGGGGGAGTGTACGTTGCTCGCTACCGGCTGCCATGCCGTGCCATCAAACCTGTGATGCTTTCCTGGGAGGGGGGTCCTGCTATGTGGGTGTTGGGTTCAGGCATACTGGCCGTGCTACCGTAGCTGCTGCGGTGTGGTGCGGTACTGTGCACATGTTTCGCTGCATGCATGTGCGCTGCTGGTCGGTTGCGCGCTGCAGGAACGGGCGTCACAATCTACAGCGTGGACAGCGGCGTGTTCGCCACACACAACGAGTTCCAGGAGTGGCCCGACGAGGGGCGGAGGGGGCAGCGCGGAGAGCCCCCGGGCAGGGCCGAGTACGGGTAGGGAGGGGAGCCGTGGGGTACGTACGTATCGGGAGGATCCCGTCTTTACGTAAGTTACCTTTTGGCTGTGCAGTACGATACATCTGGTTTCAAGGATTCTGGATCCTGCCGCTGCACAATGTATCAAACAGCTGCAACACTGTTGCCATGGTGATTGAAAGCACACATACATGCTCCACACGTCCTTAGCTCCCCTTCGCTGTCGCGCCCGCCCCAACCTGACACGCCACGTGCGGGTACGGTACGCGCAGGTACGACTTTGTGGACAACGATAACGTGGCGGAGGACTGCGACGGCCACGGCACCCACGTGGCGTCCACGGCGGTGGGCCGCAGCGTGGGGGTGGCCCGTGGGTCGCGGCTGGTGGCGGTGCGGGTGCTGGACTGCAGCGGCAGCGGCACCATTGCGGACACCGTGGCGGGGCTGGAGTGGGTGGCGCGCAACGCGAGGAAGCCGGCGGTGGCGATGATGTCACTGGGGGTGCCGGCAGGTGGGCGGCTGGGGGGCGCTTGGGGGCAGGACTTGGACAGCTATCTAGGAGACAGCTATCCGGCAACGCAAGGGTCATACAGGAAAGAAGCTCCGCTTGGGAGCTCCGGTGTCAACTAATGAATGCACTGGAATGATGCGGACTAGCACCCACAGGGGTAGGCTCGGTGTTAGTAACATCCATGGTTACAAGTGCCAAGCATGCAGCCATGCAACCCCCCGCCCGGCTGCTGCAGGCTCCTGGTCCAAGGCGCTCACGGAGGGTGTACGGACGCTGGTACGACAGTACGGCATCCTGGTGGTGGTGGCCTCGGGCAACTCCGCTGTGGATAGCTGCACCGTCGTACCCGCCAACGTCCCCGAGGTACGACATGTATAGTGAATGCCGTACCTCGACAGGCAGCTGCGTGTGTCCCGTGCAGTTTGGTCGAGGCATTGCAGTACCGGTATTAAAAGCCCTCGCTCCAATCGCTTCACCTTCCTCCTGCCTCCTCCGCCCCGCCCGCCCAAGGTCCTCACTGTGGCCGCCTCCAACCTTGAGG